CCGACCGCTGGATGACGATCGGTGCTCGGTTCGGCCCCACGGGTCATCCGAAACGATCACGCGATCGATCGGCGATCGTTTGCACACGGTACCGGTCTGACTGTCAGACCCCCGTGCCAGGCTCCTCGTGCTGTCGGTGACGGTCAGGCTACCGTCAGTGCACAAGTCGAAGAACTTCCTGCCGCTCCCGTTTGGCGTGGCAAACCCAAACCGAGGGATCGCACCACTTCGCGTAGCGTCGTCTCTCCCAACTCGCGCATCAAACTCCCACATCGGCACGATGCGGTCGCCGCTCGGAATCCTTTCGGGCGGGGAGGGTTATGGAGGTCATAAACCCCCCCTTGGGATACCTTTTTCTTAAGCTCGATTCTCAAAATTTTTTTTTAATTTGGCCATAAATACTGGGTGGGTTACCAATTTTTTATGTCAACTCCCCCCCTTTCCCCATTGGGATTTTCTGGGCACGCTACTGGCCAGGCCAACTATCAATGTATCTAGTCTTCTCCTCCTAGCCTCCTCCACGAGTTCAGGCTCCTTACTGTCGAGTGTTAGCACATTCCAAGTCCTGATGTTCAGAGTCGGTTGCCAAGGTCGTTTGTCTTCCGATTCCGCTCCTGGTCTGCCCTTAGAGCATCGTGCCTTCCGGCTCCATCCAGATGCATCAAAGATGAAAGAAGGAATGAAGGACGGGACTCGTGCACGATGTCCCTTCTTTCATCCCTTCACCCACGTCATTTCTATAATGCTTCCGTCGAGTTTTTTTTTTCCCCCCGACCCTGTACTTAGAAAGGATTGTCATCGGTCACGGAGCCAGGTCTCGGCGATTCGGGGAGCTGCTTTCTCGCTTCCTCTCGGAAAGCTTGTAAGATGCCGTTTTCACCCTTTCCTACTTACTTACTTTTACTTACTTACCCTTGCTTTCATCACTGCCGTGGCGATCGCGATGCAACTGTTAAGGTTCCAGAATCACGATTACGGTGGATTCGGGGATGGTATGACTCATCGTTCTCGCTTCTGGACGAATCTAACCGGAGTGCTAAGAAGTAATAAACCCGTGAGTGAAAATTAGAGCTCCTAAGCCCATCATCGACGTCTGCTGGGCTTTCCTCCAGACGTTCCAGACGTGATGCAGGGCTCCGATGACGAAACTTCTCTTAAGGGCAGCTGTGAGAAAGTCGACGCAGTTAGGCTTTCTTCCCACCAGCCCTCCACTTTCTCTACGTCGCTTGAAAGACCTGGGCAGACGGACTGATTTTTTCCCTCCGGCCATGCATATTTCTGCGCTAAAGAAAACGAGCGACTGGAGAAGCGCCAAAAGGGGGGGGGGGGGGGGGGGGGGGGGGGTGGTCGTCTCGTTCGAGTGCTTCGCTCATCCCACACCAGACGTCACTCGTCGGTTCGCATCTTCCTCCTTTGCGAGAGAGAGAGAGCCTTACTCGCGGAATGGTCTCATAGGTCACCTGGTGACCGAGGTCGGAAGAGCAAGGAATGAGACTGATCTCTCACTTTGGAGCGGTCGTTCGAAGCCGCAACCCAGGATCGAGATCTCGCCTCACCTTCGTACCGAATTTTATGGATCATTCCCTCACGCCGTTTCCGAAGAAACGAAGGGGGGGGGGGGAGCGGGGAGGAGGCACTTCCGACTGCGCCTCGTCTAGAATGCGTTCGGCTGCTCCCGATGAAAGGCCCTAACCAGAGCGCTATGTACGAGTGATCGCAAAACGACTTTCGGAGACGAGCGATGGTGAAGAAACCGAAACTCGGACCTCCTTCGACTCGTCGCCCGCCCGACGATGCCGAAAGACGGTGGAACCTCGAGCGCCCGAACGATCAGTCTCGAAACGGAAAAAAAAAACACGATGGGGAAGTCGCGAAACGTTCGCTAGAATCTCTCAGCCGAGCGGATCGTGCTCGTCCTGCGCGTCTCGAGGGCTTCGCATCGTCGACGACGGCATTCGCGGTCTCGGCGAGCCAGGAAGCCGGGCAGAAGGAGAGAGACTTTCCCCCCGCTTGCCCCCCCGAGACAAGGGCTCCTACCCGTTTCGACTCTTGGGAAGAGGACGTGCGATCGGGCTTACCGTACGCGACATCGCTCTTTCGCTCTTTACTCGGATCGCAACAGACGAATACTCGTATAGCCACTGTATTTTTCACGCGACCGCTGGAAAACGCGAGAACTTCCGAGAAACCACGGTCTCGCCGAGTGTCGACGCGTGATGCGTGCCAAACCCCGTGACGTGACAGAAGGACGTAAATCGCGTGAGGTCTGGGATCGTCACGTCTCATCCGAGTTCATCCAACGAGAATCTCATCATTCTCAACATCGGGGCACTTTTTATTTTTGCATCGGTGATGCCGCTAAGCAGAGAGAAATGCAGGCATCTGTTGCAAAACGAAACAACGACCCAGTTCGCATTCGATCTGTCCAGGGCAGCGCCTCCCAAGGGCATCACCCAAGGGCACCACCCCCTTCGACACCGTAAGATTCTTTTTTTTTTTTTCCTCATAGGGATGGAGAAGTGACTCGGAAACTCCATCGACAAGATTCTTAGCATCTCACTCGTCGAGGATGACATCCAACGACGGACGGATCGGAAATCCTTGAGCATCCAAATCCGGAAGGTTTCCCTCAATCGACCCCATTTGGAGGTTTAATTCCCGATCTTTTCCAGAACATTCAAACTCAAAATCTAATCTTGAAACTATACGAATAGTGGCGGGAACAGAAATATCTTAATTGGGGGGGGGGGGGGGGGGGGGGGGGCACATTTTCAAANGGGGGGGGGGGGGGGGGGGGGGGGGGGGGGGGGGGGGGGAGAAGGGCACATGTTCCAATATGATGGGAACTGGCATTAGGGCAAGCTCATGACTGAATTACACAATTTGTTATTCCCATGCGTCCCAAACTGGGAGCAGGAGTTTTGGAGTGGCGAAAAGGGTGCTGTACCACAGCTTAGCATAGCTCAGCACAGAGGTAGTGGCCCAAAGGCGGACCAGGCACCATGCTGACGGATTTCTGTCGGAGGTGGTAACGTGGCGGCAAGTGGGACATGCAGTTCTTAGCCCGCTATCTAGTGTAGATAGCAGGCCACCAGCCATAATGTAGCTGGCACTCCCTCAGATGCAGTACCGTGAGTCTCCACTAGATGATACCCATGTTCCTGCGCCCTTCGAATTCTTAAGTACCTGCCTTCCTGATTTAGCACAAGTCTCTCCTCTTCTTATTGTGAAATTTATGAAAAGATATGCGGAAAGCGTGAAATTATGATGCGTTGATTGCAATATATGGTTCAAAATGATAAAATGCTGAACTTTTGAGAATAAGGAATTGTACGGGAACAGGGAAGGAGTGCTGTAAGTTCTATTTTTAATCCAACATACTCAGCATGGTGTGAAACAAGACGCGAAGGGTTCTCCTCACTCCCTCAGGGGACCGATTTGGATGCGGAAGGGAAGAGCAGTGGACCACCTTAGTACTCTTGGGTGCTCTTCTAAATACGTAAATGCACCAAGTATGAGAGGAGAATCGGATATGAATGAGGGTCAGTGGCGGCTCGTGATAATTAGCCCTAGTGGTTCGTCTATGGAGAGGGAGTAGGCAGGGGAGGGCACTGCCTAACCCCTCTCTCCATTTTCATGAGATATCCCCTCTTTCACGTTGGAGGAGGCGGGAGGTGGAGTAAAGCTTTCTCTTGCTTCCTTTTGTCAGGACCTATTCTGTATGGGAAGGGGACATAAATAAAAGGACTTCCACGAGATCCTTTTATTTCTGTCACCGATCTATGCTATGAATTTCGTGAAGTCAAGTCTTTTTATATTTTTTAATGCCTGGTAAAACTGATAAATTCGCCTGCATTATATCCGGATGTTAATCCTGCGAAGGAGCCGCTAACTGTTTTCCCAAAATCCGATGAGAAATGGTCACCTGTGATGTGGAAAGTGGTGGACTCGTGCCGAACCCGAACCGATGCCTGGTGCAGAGGAGCTGAAGCTTCTGACATACCTGTACGGTTCAAATTTAGTCGTGGTGAATGCGAATTATTCATAATATTTATACGAATTTCCAACCGTGACTGAGGCAATTATCGACAAATTTCCCCCCCACCGATTTTATACCGAACAGAGAATGATACTTCTTTCCGGCATTCGACCGTCGCAACGAGGAAAATCGGTTGCGATCTTTCCTTCGGGACATTCGCTTCGGCTTGGCCTGGCCTATCACACAGGGCCTGTGTCGGTGCCATTCCTAATTAACAATCGGGGCGAAGTGGGCTCACATTCCGTGGTGTCTTATGGTCGCTTCCGTAGTCGCGTCTGTGCCATCGTCAAATATATGCACTAGATTTGTTCTCGAGGGAACGGAAACTTTTCCCCGAGGGACTGGTTCTGCTCGCCCCCACCGAGCCTAAACATGGATCCGCTACTGTACGTGAATGAATGAAAAAATGAAAACGTCTGTGATTCGGCACTCCTGTTCGTTCGGTCCCGGGAGAAATCCCATAGAACCCTCCGTTAGATCCGAACGTCGTTTCGTAGCTTCCGTTCGTATGGACGAGATTTCTCCCCTCCTGGGCCATTCTCGCCCTTCGTCCGGACTTCCTTACGAAACAAATGAAATACGAGAGAAATCGCTCCCTGTCTCGCTCCTTTCATCTCCCTTTCCTGGAATCTGGTAATAGGAATTCCTCTGGTCATTCAGGCTTTCTTTCAATCTTCGAGTTCATCTCCCTCTTCTCCGTTCTCATCCATGCTCGTCATTAGAGCCTCGGCAAGTTTCATCCTTTCTGTCGAGAGGAAGTGTCTTCGATGGAATCCGACGCGCCAAGGTTCTGCGTCAAAGCAGAAAAATGAACAGTTCCTCGGTCAAATATTCCATAATCTGGACAAGCCGTCAATCCGGACAAAAGCGCCGGTCGCCTCGAGTCCGAACGAACGCGAGTTGGTTCTTGAATCTCGCCATGTCGAGGGCATGCGACACGGTGACCGAATGACTCAACTGCTGTTGGACGGAACCAGCTCCTTTATTGAAGTAAAAAACGAGTGAAAAAAGGCAAGAGATTCGATTGGACGCGGAAGAAACCCATGCCACGGGCGGAGAACACGAAAGACAAGTCTGGGAATTAAAAAGAAATCCATGTTCACACCACTCCAAAATGGACAACATGGACATCTCTCGAATTTTCCTCATCCTCTTCTTCTTCCTGAATGCTCTCTCCTAATGAAAACAAAAACAAAAAAAGGTGAACGCCATTTCATGGCAAAACACATCGAAAATGAAAGAGAAGACGGAACTCACGCTCGGCACCGTTTCCCGCTTCTCTGGAATGTGCCTGTTAGGAGACCAGAAACAACTTATGAGTCGCGGCGGGGTAGTTTTGCGAAGGGCAAAAAGGAATTAAATGAGCTGACCGCAAGAGGCATCTGCGCAGAAGACGCCGAGGAATCGGACATCGAAGACGGCATCGTGTCTGCATCGTTGAACACGCTTTCGCCGCCATCTGTCAAAAGAACGAGTGCTCGTCGTGTGCTTTCGCTAGAATCGCCGTGAGAATCCTTAAATCGTGTTTTGCAAAAACGCTCTGTCGTACCGTTGAGGAGGGAAGTGGCTTCTGCGAGGGCGGCAACTGCCGAGTTTTCGTCGCCGTGACGCCTGAACCAGTGACACAGATCGAGGAATAAGTCGGCTTGTCCTAGGTCCACTGCCAACTGGAATGCCATCAATACTTCATTATTCCTATTAATAAAAACAAAAAACCAAACCAATGTATCAGTTCAAAACGAAAACGCAAACAGGACAACAACAACAAAAAATCGGGAAAAAGACAAGGACTAACTTGAGCAGGTAGAAGAAAAAGCGTCGACTGAGATTCCTGACCTGAGGGCGATAGTCAGCCTGGATCTCAGGAAGCAGAGGTACAGGTGGCGAAAAGAAAGATCCTAATGCATTTGCCAACATTTCTGCAACAAAAAAAGGGAACTCTGACTCTAGTTCATTTTACTCTTCCTCCCAGACTTGTTAAAACTAGATGGTAAATTCCATCGAGAAGATACAAAAGGTACTTCATTTACTTCTGAAGCCTCATGACATAATGACTTCGGTAAAAATAACGACTTACAGATAAAACTTTGTCGCATCAATCGTGGGCACCTTTCAGTCAGCCCCCAGTGAAATCATTTTCACGAAATGTGGAATAAATAATTTTAAAAAAACAACCGTGCGGAAACACTACAACTCTGATGTGACATAGATCGCAGGGACACCTTGATTGGCAGGTGAGAAAGGTTGAGCGAAGAGATGCGTGGCGATGGAGGTGAGACTGGTCATGGCAGCTTGGGGATCCACCTGCCAGCCGTGGGTGAGAAGAAGACGCACGGCAGACTGAGCTTGCGATCTCCTCAGGTGCAACTTCGTCAACGATGGCACGGAAAACACGTCCCAACACGAAGGGAATGCAATGCAACTCACCGGCCCGCTACACGAGGAGCAGAGATACAACTCCACGTAAATAAAATAAAAGGGAACGGCTATCGTGTACTTTTCTACCGCAAGAACAAAGTGAACATTAACTTCTTGATAAACAAAATTGGAGCTTTATTGTATCGTGGAACAAAAAAAAAATAAATAAATAAATAAAAATAAAGACACTTACTGCTTAAAGAAGGCGAGGAGAGTCGGATGCCTCGAGGAAAGAGGTCTGTCTCCATGGTCTTGGTGCCAGAGCAGATGATCGATCTCACCCTGACCCATCCTGATCGGTTGGATATCATGCGTCAAGAAAGGAGTTCCTTGGAATTTACTTCTCCGAGCAAAGAGACTCACCTGAGTGGTCCTCTAAGAACTTCCAAATCGTATGTTTGCAATGCAAGATCAGAGAGGATGAGATTTCCCATGGATCCAGCAACAGCAAACATGATGCCAGAAGAATGCCAACCCACTGCTCTAGGCTCCTGCCTCAACAATACACAATCAGGATGTGATTCATGATTATTCCCAGAAAACAGATTCGGCATCCATTTAAAAATAACCTCCATCCAAGCCAGCACCCTAGGTCATCCCCACTATTAACGTAAGAAGACGATGGACACCATGGTTGCATCATCATGAGTCTCAAGCAATGTCAGGAGACAACGTCACTGACTCATGATAACAATAGGGGACTCCACAACAAATCACAATCCCCAATAAGAATTCTTCTTGGCAAGGCCACCCAAAGGCAGCAATCTAATAATTACATGAGCCATCCACACCACAATATGATAAGTCCAGCTATAAATGTCTTTAAATATTGTTAATTTTACCATAAAGTCACTCTTCCTTCCATGCAATGAATGTATTAGTCACAAATATAAAAGATAACAGAGACAATCATAGCACTAAAATTTTTAAAATAAAAGTAATGCATAGTCTTACCTTATTATCATATTGATGATACAATTTCTTAACTGCCATGAAAATAGAGTAACTAAAATTTCACTTAAAAGTCACATGACTGCTAATAGGATATGGGAGACTGCAGCACAATGGGAATTTTCTTTAACTGAAATAAAACAAAAAAAAATACGAACAGGAATAAATCAGGAGAAAATTTGGAAATTAATCAGTTGCATTACAGGACATTCATAACTACAAAAATTACTTTCTTCATTCAAAGAGGGAAGTCTCTGTTGAATGTTGAATCTTCAAAAGCAATCTGAGTCCCACAAAACTCCTCCCTCCAGAACTCCCTGCTTTCAATTAATAACATTAAAAATGTATGCTTCACAAATTTACATATTACTACTTGATTGATCTATCAAGGGTCCTAGGAAGAGAGATCCAATTAAAAGGAAATGGCTAGTGATTTGAAACAGATGTAATACAGTTTTTCAAGCTATTTTGCAATAAATTAAATTTTTTTTTAAAATTCTTATAGAACATGACTTATAGTGGAACAGTTTCAGTTTATCCAGTAAGAGAATGCTAAGAGTGCTAGAATGTTAGGAAAGATTGCTAAGAGTCCCAGTCTATTCTACAATCAATTGTCCCACTGTAACCAAAGTCATGAGTCCAAAACTGGGATGAGCAATCAGATGAAAAACTTAGTAATAATCCAGAATAGGGCCAAAACACTTCACATGAAATGAATTATGCAAATCTAACAGCACATAATTGGTTCAGTCACACCAACATGCAGTTCTGTCTGGTTTAAATTAACTAAAAACCAGCATCCCTCTGTACTCCAGCCTCCCCAATTCACATTTGCACTAACTCACATAACAATGGCAATCTTGGCAATCAAGTGCATTGAAAGAAAAATGCTCATTCCAAGACACTTGAATAGCCTCACTTAATCTCAAAAGAACATCTGATTATTTACTGCAAATCAATCCCAACTACTTCATGAAAATGATGCAAGCAAGGGATTTACATTCAAATTGCATAAGTGCTTCAGGGATCATAAGCGGCAACTAGAGTGATTTGGCTTAGCGTTTTTCTTTCTATCTGAGTGATTGCAAACATTTCCATAGTTGCAAAAAATTAGTGTTCTGCCCTTCTAGTTGAAATTCTTATAATAAAAAAGATAAAATGAATTCACTTGAAAAAAATTTGTAATGTATAAATGATCATAGTGGCAATGGCTTCCATGCCTCCAGCTCCAGTGGTCCACTCCCATCCCCACCCTAGTCTGTTCTGTTCACTCAAACTGCTTATGAGCTTAATCTATATGGATCAGATGGATCAGATGGCTATAAAGGAGAGACTGTCCTATTATGATGGCCAAATCCCAAGGCAAGAGTCAATGGTTAACTCCTTATACAGGGTGTCCCAAAAGGTATGGAAACATTTTAAAAATAAATATCTCCCTAAATTATGCCTCAAGTTAAATGATTAAAACAGTAGAATGAAGTGCAATTCAAGCATTTTAAAACCTGCTATTGCAATTCTACATGGGCACTATTCGTGGCTCTGTAGACATCTAGATGATGTTTGGGTTCTTACTGTAACTTACAGAGTGTCATGCATAACTGTCTAAATAGCTGCAGCAATTCTGTTTTTCAGATCTTGGAGATTGTCAACTTTTCACCAGTAAGCAATGTTCTTGACATAGCTCCACAAGAAAAAAATCCATGAAGGATGGGTTCAGGTTCAATAAAAGTATAATTTTCCAAGATGTTGCACTTCCACATTTTAGCAAACTGATACACAACAAAAATTCCCAGATGTTCCTTTTGTGGATTGGATGAATCAGGCCTATTCCATGGCCTCCAAGATCACCTGAAATAACCCCAGTGGACTTTTTCTTGTGGGCTATGTCAAGGACATCGCTTACTGGAGAAAAGCGCCCAATTGATCAAGATCTAAAGAACAGAATTGTCCCAGCTATCCAGACAGTTATGCCTGACACTCTGCACAAGGTGTGGTGAGAGCTCGAACATCACTTGGACATCTACAGAATCACAAATGGTGCCAATGTGTAATTGCAATAACAGGTTTAAAAATGTTTGAGTAGCACTTCATTTTACTGCTATAATCATTTAATTTGAGGCATAATTTAGGGAGATATTTATTTTAAAAATGTTTCCACACCTTTTGGGACCCCCTGTAGTGTGGTACAAAACCAAGAAAAAACACACACATTTATGCAGAAGAATTGAATGCTAAAGCTACTCTTATATAGTTTTTCTTTTACAACAGGCTAGGATGAACAGTGGTCAACAGCTGGAAGGGTGGCTGTGAAGTGATGGCTGACAGGTAAATAGGAAGAAAAAGGAGCTCATACAAATGATAGCTTGATCTCTTGTGTTGTGGCATGTGGAATGTGATGAAGGAGAAGAGATCTGTTCTCAAGGCAGATGCAGACATGGACATGAGATGGGCTGAAGGCAGCACACTGGATGGATGATGATGATGATGACAATGACGGTAGTGGTATCTTTGCCTCTTGGTATGCCTTCAGACCCCGTCCTTCCAGGTCCTCAAATAACTTCACACTTGCAACCTCATTCTGGGAAACAAATCATCATGTCATCATCTTTAGAATTGCCAGTGGCACCCACAAGTTTATATTCCAATATAGGACATGCTGTGCACCATTTTGTATGAATAATATATTTTTAAATATATTAATTTTCTGCAATACTCTTTAACTTTTTATAGTGCTGGATGGTTGGTCTGGTGGGTATCAAAGTGTAGCCAGTCATTTATGCTAAGATTATCAGCTGCCTTCAACAGCTTCCGGATGCTGCCCATCTCTGAATTAAATGTGTGATGTCACTAGAAATACTAGAGGGAGGAGAAAGATGGGAGAAACAGGAATTAGAAAAGATCTCATACAATTAGTTTATAGCATTCAATATCATGAGATTATGAAAATATGGTGCTGCCTATATTATCACATAATGTGGAACAAAAAATGCCATCATTAGGTTTTTGATGAGAGCAAGCTGCCGAAATTCATAAGCATTTAGCATTCCAGTTTCAGGATGAATGTCTGACACATTCAACAGTGCTGCAATGGTGCAAGGTGGATTGAGAAAGTGCAACAAATGAGCCCCAATTCTCACACTCAGCAGCATCTGTCAATTGCACTCTGTGCACGGGTATTCTGTGAGGCATGCACTAGGAAGTACCCACTATTCTGTTCAAACTTGTAGTGCAACTTCCATTTCTTCTATACTTGCATAGAGCCTCAAGTGGCTGTGCACTCGTTTGCAAGACATCCATGCTACAGGTGTACAGGCCCTTCTCCCATTGACGGAAGAAGTTTGTGCATGTAAAGGGTGAGTATTTTGAGAAATAGGGTAAGTTTCAAACATGTAACACCAGTTTAAATACCCTTAGAGCATAAGTTCAGTTTAAATTTGAACCACCCTCATAAAAAAAAAAACAGGATTTGGTTCAGCAGCATCTCTGACAAACTTTTTTCTTTTTGAAAGGGACATCTTTGTGTGGATTAGAGTTGGCCTATTTATGTTATGTAGAGCTACAAGTTAACAAGGATGCAAAACATACATTTTCCTTTTCACAAAAGGATTGGAACCTTACTTACATTTGGAATCTGAGGATTCACTCTAATAGCCAACATCAATTAGAATGGAATTGATTTGACTGTTCATGTGTAAGCATTTCCTACTGATTTCTGTACCAGGTGCCTTAAATTTCTTACTCTACTTCACTTTGATGCCATAACATTTTTTGATCAAAGACACTAGCTGGAAAGTGATTTGGATGAAAAAATTCAACACCCTTATCCCAATAATCCTGGGCCCCTCTTAGGGCCCAAGGTTTCAAGGATTCTTCAAGGAAATTCTCAAAATTTTTTGAATACCAATGATCAAGGCATGATTGTATGAATATCTTTTGTCCTCTTGGAACTCAACAAATTCCCAAGACAATGATGCTCTACCTTCTCTTGCTGCCAGATCTCCAATGTGCAGAGAGATGAGTCATTGGGGAATGAAGCCAGAAAGATGGCTGTTTCTGAATGGGCCCACTTCTCCAGGATGGGAACTCCTCTGCATACAAAATCCCAATGCAATACTCAACTGCTTATACTCAGTAGTGCACATGTCACACCTAAAAGGCTACAGGCAACACCTTCAAGAGTATAATCTCAATGTACTTGAATATGTGCATGACTTGCTGAGTTACCAGTCTGAAGGAATCAACTGTTCAAAGAAAAAAAATATATATAATTTTTTACATTTGCAAACTCTTAACAGAAGAACATAGCAAGAAGGAATGAAGACAATATTGAATGGGTGTTAGCTTCCTAGTTTTTCAGTATTTACTTGCCTGGGACCCACCTTTAGTGGCCTGAAACTTCCAATCAAATTCACATTTGACTGCACTTTAAGCTTCCTGATCTTTCTAAATTGAAACCAGATATGTGTTGGGCTACTCACTCATTAGATATGGAATACAAGAGGAGATTGGCAGAATCTGCCCACTTTGATGATGGCTGCCAGGCCATGAGATCACAGGGAGGATCTGAAATCCACCAGACAGCCAGGAGACTTCCTGATGGACTCATTGCGAGCCTCAGCCTTCCCCTGCCTCGACCCCACAACCTTGACTGTGTTTGACCAGGGAGGTCATGCAGGGTCACCTTTCCTTCCTCCTTCCCCAGATTCACCATTAGGTGATTCTCCACTGTTGCTCCAGCCAGTATTTCTCCATGAGCACCAGCTTGGAGTGAGTACAGAATACTCTATGAACACCTGGAATGAATAATTCAGTACAGGAAAAAAGTCAAGAATACTCACCAGAGCAGAGGGGAGCATTGAGGACCTTGGTGAGGTGTCGACTGCACTCAATCTCGGTTATGTCTGCTGTGTCAGAGCTGAAGCCCAGGTACCAAACATTATTGTTGGAAAGAATCACCTGGACACCTATGCCTTTTGCAGGGTGAACACCAACCACTTCACTCCCTGCCAATTCCTTCTGCATTATGCAAAAAATTGTAAAAGTGCAGTTTAGCAAGCATTAAGAAAAGCAGGAAAAAGTCATAGATTAGATGAGACCAACATTGAAATCCTTGAGACTGTTTCTGAGCCTAGAAGGCCACTTGTTCTTGACAGCCCATGTTCCACCCCTTGCTTGAATCCAGATTTTCTTGGCTAGTTGTGAGGCATAATCTCGGACTGACTCATCCAAATCATCCTTCCTCTCATACCTTGAAGTAAGAAAAACTATGTAATTCCCACAAATATTGAAAGCTTCCATGTTGTATATCTTGGAGACCAATGAGACTCACTGGTGAAAGCAGAGGATATCAGAGGAGGAGACACCATCAGCCTGTGTGGTGGTTCTGAGGCCTCCTGAGCCACCATTGGAGGTCCATTGTACCACCTGGCATAAGAGGGAGGGACTCACCTCTCCCATCCTTCAACAGACTCTTGTGTAATGGTCCATAATCTGTGATCCAATCTGACTAAATCTTCCAAGTTCACCTGGTGCTAAGGATATCATGCCCCTTTACTGTATACCCCAAGACAAATGAAATGGCTTCTAAAATGTATGATTATAGCATAATTAATTGCTGCAATTTTACTCAGCACAATATCTTCTATTAACTTTGCTGGAGGGAGGAGGAAATGACCATAAACCCCTTAACTGGGAAGTTTTCACCAAATGCATTTTAACCTATGGGAGGTCAGATGTCAAAAGGCATCTAACCCAATTAAGGGGTTAAGTCACATCTCCCTCTCTCACTCTGCCATGGCAAACATTGGCAACATTTGTCCAAAAGACAAGTTCATTGTTGGCATTTTTTCTACACTGTCATTGCCAATATATTCTCCAAGGATGAATGGTTCATGACATTTTCGTGTAAATTCCAAGATTGACTTGTACCAGCCAATTAGCAGAGACATCTCATGGCTGACCATGAGCCCCTTGCATTTCAAATTTTATACCACAGTCCTACAAGATATTGGTAAGAATGCAAAATGCAAGGGAAGCCTCCCTTGATGATAATGAACTAATATGGAGAGTATGCACACTTCTTGCCTGTTTTCCACTTACTGTATTTATGAGGCATTATGCTACAGGATGCATCTGAGACCGGAGTTGTCAGATGGATCTCAGTGAAAGCCTCAACTGGTTATCAACAAACAAAAATGAAGTTACAATTCATACCATTGAACAATACATTTTCAAAGAATAAACTATTCATGAACTAACAACAGGGCTGCAGACAAACAACAGGATTCCTAATGGAAGATAAACTGGGATCCAAGTGCTCAGTACAGAGTAAACATCTATTCCAGACAAAACAAAATAGAATATCAAGTATCTCATACAAGTACAGAAAAAAGTATTTATATGGCATCAGGATTCCTAGCTCCTATAAGAGATTATTGCCCCCATATTCAGCTACCACCTGCAGCAATGGTCTGCTGCACCCACCATAACAGCTTGCACATCTGGTGGAGTTGTGGCATTTTGACAATGTCTAATTCCAGAATGTTTATTCCCAGTCATTTTCTTCATGAGGATAACAGAACCAACAACTTCAGAAAAGAATAGCTGTCAAAATGTCCTCTCATGGCATCATCCTTTTATTCAGCAGAATCTCAAATAGAATCTCTCCTCTACATGCTCTAGGCAACTGGTCAACAATCACACCATGAGAGACAAGATCATTCTTGGGGGATTATTAATTTTTTTCTCAGAAGAAAATTGCAAACAATAAAAACAGGACATGTGGGAGAAAGGGAGGGGGGACAATCCAAGTAAGCAAAATCACAGACCGTGCTAGTAAAATTGCAGCTACTGAGCAGCTAAATTAGCACACAGTTGCAACATGGGCGAAATGAGATCGAATGGGGATCACCAACATTCCTCCCCTCATTCAGTGACCCAATATCAGACGATCATTCAGGCAATATTTCCATGCACAATACTGGTTTCTCTTTGGGCAAGCATTTGGCCTTGCATAACTTAGGCCACACCAAAAGAGAATTTCTCACGATTTCCATAAAATCTGGCAATACCTGTATGTAGGCCTATGTATATCAGATATCAATATAGGAAACTGTCAATCTTAGATGGTTTGGTAGTGTAGATGTGCAGGTACAACACTAACTTCTGACTTATTTGTGCTTCAAGAAATCTTGCACAGTAAATGCAAAAAATAACTCAAAAGAAATAGGACTACCACTAGCTCTGTTGACTATAAGGGGTGCATATCACATTTCGTTAAAAATAGTAAAATAAAGCACACGAGACTCCAATGCCCCAAAAAAGAACAAAATTGACTAGAAAATGTGAGAATCATAACTTTGTCTCCTCAAGACTAGCTATTCTTAGGTAGTTTGCTAACTTCACACCTTATTCAACAGATCACTGTCAACTGCATCTCTGTGTTGAAGAGATGATGGATGAAAAATATGGATGATGAAAGCACTCATTCTTGCTGAACATGCAAGCATTAACTGGCCTCATTGAGTCCACTGAATTTCAGTGGGAGAGAAAATTCCAAGCACAAAAAATTAAAAATACATAATAAAGAAAGGGAAGATGATAGTTGCACGTTTGGAGTTGATGTTGAACATGAGTGACAACAGACTGGAAGAATTTTGAGGTTCTCCCAGCAGGAGTGGCTTATTTAGGTGGAGCCTAGAGGCAGGGCCAACATCATGGGGTCCGGCGTTCTGTAGCTGGTCGTGGTTGAGCAGGTGCTGCCTCTTGCAGGGAACGAGGATGGTACCTCCGACATCTACAAGAATCCAGCAACAACACTATATTAAAATTGAAACTCAATCAAATCAAAGTCTTATTAATGCTTAGTTCCTCATGGATAAACATCAAAGGGCTCAGCTAATGATGCTGCTAATCAGTTTATTTCAAGCAATTTCTTTTTAACATCCTTACATTATTAATTTTCTGCAAAACCAAAACATGGTGTCTTCTTCAAAAACAATTAAATGGCAATTTTTGTTTAACCTATCAAGAGAGGGAGAAATAAGGGGCACAAGCAAGGCATCCATTGCCAGCATAGGACTAAAAGCCCATTAGCAGCTAAAAGGGAGTAAAAGAAACCACCCCTAATGTTTTGTCTTGTCATTTTAACATTATGCATACATAACTCATGCCTATGACACACAGTAAGGGGGAAACAACCCTAATGTTAATTTGTTTAAACTATCTTTATTTTTTTTAAAGGACTTCAGCAAAATGTTTAGAATAAAAACACTTCAAAAAGAGCACTTGCACAAAAGTACTCAAAACTTAAAATGAGACTTGAGAATAGGAAGCCAGGGACAGCAAGAAATATCAAGTGTGAACCTCTTTCTGCTAAGAGCAATGGGCATTGCCATATCAGGGGTGAAAATGTTAGTTGTCTACTTGACATAGTTCAATTCTCAGGGGGAATTTTTGACAGGCACACATAGCCATGAGAAACTTGCCTGATATTCTTCATATAAGCACTTTTCTGAAAGTCCTTGCAAGAATGCTAAGTGGAGAGAGCATAGAATGTTTTCCTTTAAAATTTATGGATACTGCACCAAAAATTAACTAGACAGAAACAGTTTTCAGGGTTGATGTTTGAAGGAAAAAACTGGCAATCAACTTTTCTTAACTAGAGCTGGGGTTCTAAAGCAGAAGGGGGAGGCCTTTTGTGCATGTGCACAGAGGGGGATCTATGTCCTGTTACTCTTTTGCTGAGGCATTTAAATTTCCCTGTCTTCCCTTCCCTGCAATGCAGGAATGAAGTACGATGGTGCAAAAATGTGACAACTGCAGTGAAAGAGTTAATATTATGTTGAAGGGAAAATAATATTGAGTCAGGCTGGATGGATGATTGGGAAATATACTTAAAAAATCCCACATATGCCATCAATAGAGAACATCCCTCACCCTGCTTCAAGCTATTCCATCTTATTACAGAAGCTTGCTTGAGCTATTTAGATTAAATGAATCCAAACATCTGATTAAGTCATTCTGCATCAAGAGATTTACTTCCAGCATCTAGTCATATTTCATTTCTTTCTTCTATGACAATCATTCCTAGATTGGGTCACTCATTGACACCACTATACATTCCCATCCCATCCACTTTAAACCAGGAGCATTTCAAACAACCAATTTCATCTAAATTTTCAGAAAACCATCTCTTCATGTATGTGGCACCAGGTGACTCAAAAAGTTCCTGAGATTAAATGACTACAGATGAAAGTCTGTGTGAGACACCTTCAGAAAATTTACAGTGTCACATATGCAGGGCATTTTCTGAAAATTTAAGTTAAATTGGCCCTTTACAAAAGTCAGTAGCAGCTATTTTTGCATGACGTTAAATGAGTGAGTGTCTGTCTCCATCTGTCAGCTCTGTTGAACTTTCATAGGATCAGTCCCATCATGTAGGGAGGAATCATTTAGGGTTTGAACTTGCTTTTATGACATCATACAGATAAAAAGCTGAACTAACAATTTCACTGAAATGCTTGCAGTATCACCTACTCAAATTGGATGTCATCCTATGTAAATTTCCTTTTGTAATCATCTATACTGTTCCCTTAGCAAACTTGTGAATTTGGGAACTTCATTTGGCCACCCAGTATTTATGGTGATTCACCTCAAGATTTTCAATGGATTAGGTATGAGGGGCCATATAATGCTGAAGTGAACTACTCTAATCTTCCTGTAAAAATTACATTCTGTGTACCCCTTACCCAGCATGGTATAGAACTCATTGCTGAACCTGAATGCCGAACTTGTACCTTCACCACCAGATATGATGGATAACACAGTATTTAGAGTTGTGAAGAAATGTATTGATCCAAAAGCTGAATAAATGCCTTAGAGAAGGCCAAGTCTAAAATAATGCCAGTATCTAATGAGAAAGGCTTTCATTCATGACATGAAATGCAATTCAGTATCATTCCTGGATTTCATTTCTTCATGAAACATCCTCAATGATAAGGAAAAGCAATAGAGGGCTCCACCAGGGAGAGCCAATCAGGTCGAGGGGTTCTGCATGGGAAGCATTTGTAAAAACATTCACACATTCCTGTTTCCTACCTGACATCATTATTTTATTTTGTAAGACACAGTTGAAACCTGAAAAAACATCCAACTATTCTTTCCTGCAATACGTGTGTCAAATACAGAGCCCATAATTCCATCTAGAAGATCTCAGCCATTATGCCATCTGACATTTTAGTCAGATTTCTCAAGGGGAACTGAATAAGGGTTAAGCACATGGGAATGGTGGACAAAGTGCATGCACACAGCCCACTTGTTCATTGACAGCACATGGGCATTCTCATGGGATTTGAAAGCACCAGAATAGATGCTGCTTGGCACTCCTTCCCCCTCCTGCTCAATGCATAAAAGCAAATGTCCTGCATCTATTTACAACTAAAGCCCTTGTATACTCACTGCCCTGTCTGCTGAGTATGTGCATGCATGAGTATCAGGTCAATGGTTAATGAAACTAAGATAATGCTACTGATATCTCCCTGTGTTATTACATTATTTTACACCACCATAAGGCTTGTCCATATAGAAGCTAACAGGAAAGGTATTGGAGAGGAATCACATCTACCCCTATCAACTAGACATACAAACAGAGCTATGGGCATACCTGGCATAGACCTCCTTGTATGGAGGGGGATCCCCTGGGGGAGGAGGGGGAACTAAAGGTGGAGGGATAAGGCTATCTTTCCCTCCTGCTGCATCTAAAGGAGGATGGAAAGGGGGAGGTGGAGGAGGAAGGAGATCTGAACTGCTGCTACCAGATTCCCCCACAAATCGAAACCTGAGGGGACATCACATGGGAATGCACTCTCTCAATTTCATGCCAAATGCCTAAGAACTCATTGAAGAACTCAAGAAGAAGTCATTGTAAGAGAAAGCTATTAAAAAAATAGCCACCTGTGTCTTTTTCCGTTTGGACTGGTGGGACTGGAAGAATTGTCGTTGCTGCTGGTGTTAGGATGCCACTGACCCCGCCAGCGATGGAAGCGTAGGCCCAATTCTGATTCATCACTCACGTATTTCTCCGACTGCTGAGGTCTTCTTCGCTGCAGTGCTGGGGTAAGGCCAACCTCCTGTTTAGTCTCTTCCTCCACTGGGATTGGCATTGGGAGCATGGGACTTGTCACCCAATGACGACTACCTGATTCACTGCTCTCACTCCCTCCTTCACCTGCCGAAGATCAAAGACATGCATTATCATCAAGTCAATCCAAGAAACTAACAATGCTTTAATGCTTCTCAAACTCACCATTTGGTGGGATTTCTCTCTTTATATCATTGATGCAATTCAGTTGTGATGGCTGCTCAAGCACAATATGAGCCACATCCCCATTGCAACTGGCATCTCCAAATACCTGCAGCTCTGGTTCCTCCAAAACAGGGGACTGTGAACGACCCCTAAGGATTTCTGGACTCAAGCTGCTACGGAGACGTGCACCAACAAGGACAGGGATCTTGCTGCGTGTTCCACCAGGAGTCTGTTCTCCAGGGCTTGGAGCATCATAGTATATGGAACCTTCACCTTCCTGACCTTGCATGAGGGCAAGTCCCTGGATATCCAGTTTCAGTTTTCTTTCAGGAATTACTTTCCCTCCACCTTCTCTCATCTACCAGCCAATAAAATCAAAATGTGAGGCATTGCATAAAAATATAATTTTAAATGTACTTTTTTCTTCAAGGTAGGGTTCAAGAATCTCACCTTGAATTCACAAGGTTCTTGCACCACATGGTTTACTGGTGCACTCTCATCTTGCATGGCAAGAATACCTTCAGGGGTTTTGAGCAATGATATTACTTCTGTTTGATTGACCAGGAGTTCCTCAGCATCTTGTAATACCAATTCCTGCATCTTTGGCATTGTGGGTTCTGCTTCCTTGATTTCTTCCTTCTTCTCATCTGGCTTGAGGAAACCCCCAATGCAGATTTCCAGCTTCCCAGCCACATGTTTTTCATCCTTCCCATTCTGTCCAAAATCCTCCTCCTCCTCCTCCACTTCCATAACATGAGGACCCGTGAGAACCGGTTGGGCAATGGGTGGGGCACTGAGGCGACGCCCATGAGTCTTTGCTACACTCAGCTGATCAACATCATCCTTCTCTGAGTGACGGGTTGCAACATTTCTTGTTGCATCAAGAGCAAAGGCCCATCCATCAAAACGGGCATGCTGTAAGTTTGGTGGCTCAAGATCTGGCCTGAAATAATTCCCGATCATTCACAATCCTGACATTAGCACCTTGTTTTTTTAGGTGGACTATATTCTTCCAAAAAGAAAGAGGTTATTTATAGGTCATGCTCCTTTCTGTCTATTGTTACTATCTTCATTGATTGACAATAACTGACACACCATATGATTAAGTACAGTGAAATTTGGCAAGCAAACACATATAGGCAAGATAGTTAAGACCATTTCAGCAGAGTTTGGTCAAAAACAAACTTTCCATCTCAAAGTTCAAATTGTCAGAATTTTTGGGACTGGTATTAGGCTCAGCAGAAGTTGGTATCAAATAACCATCTTATAATTCCTTGCCTGGTCTCCACATTACCATACATTCTTTACCACTCCATCACTACTGTTTCAAAGCTGTTCTGAATTCATATTTAACAAATGCTTCCTGAGTTCTAGTCACCAAGGAAAAACAAGTAGCTGCATGGCAACTTTGTAGCTGAAAGGTAAAAAAAAAAAATAATTATGGAGTAAGAATTGAATTGCAGCAATTGAGATTCAGGATATATTCAATAATTCCATTTTGCTCAATAAGATGGAAAGAATGAAACCTATCTAGAAATCAGAGCTGTACTACTACTTAAATTTGTTTTGTCTTTCTGATATATGTGGAAATTTGTACCTGATGTGCTCACACAACTGAGGATTACTCCAAGCCCTTGAAGGAGTGGAGGATGTAGCTGGAGTGAGTACATCAAAGGTTTCAGCTCCTTCCAGGTTCAAGGGAGCCAGGAGCTCCCTCATCTCTCGCTTCCTTTCCCTTGCCCTCCTCCGTCTCATCCGGGCAACCTCTCTCGTTTCTTTTCCAGGTTCATCATTCTGACTTTTAACCTCTCTCTCATCTTCCCCATCCTCTGCTCTCTTCTTTAGCATGGTTTCTTTGGTTTGAGCTTCTCCAACTTCCCCTTGGAGAGGATGACACAGGATGTCCACCCCTGGCATTTCATCCCTCTTACCTTCCCCATCCTCTTCTTCATTTTCATTCACACCCAAATCCTCTTGTTCAGCCAGAGGAACCACAGGACACTCCTGAAATTCACAATGGATGAAGCATGCTCATATGTCTTCTGCTGTACAATGAAGAACTTAAAAAGAAACTAGACAGACTTGGATGTCCACTGGAGAGCTTGGTGGCTTTGGGGATGCAGAAGGTATTTGAACTTCCATCCTGGCAATCTGAGCCTCACACGGAGAAGTTTCAAGACCTGCAGTCATGCGTCCCCTTGTGTACTGTCAAGGAAAGGTCACATGTCATCTATATAATGCATAGAGGTACAATTTTTGAATCTGTATGGAGTCATAAACATAGGGTCTAACTTGCACATGCTGTCTTGGAGATTGCTCTCCAGTGATCATAACCAAAGGAGATTCTCTAGGGCTGGCCAGCCCATCATAATCCTCATGTGCCCTCATCTCACGATCAGTCTGCTCATCTTCATCATCAAACTGACTCTTCCACTGGGATGCCAGTGTCACTATAATAAATGAATTTCATCAGAAAGGAGAAGTTAACCACAGACATATGATAAGACAGCGCAATGTACAAATTCATAGAGACTAACCACATCCACCACCACCACCACCTCCACCACCACCTTTTGTGCTGGCCATTTGAGCAGAGACATCATCCATGATGGCAAATTGTGTTGTGGAAAGATCTCGAGTGGTGGAATGACGGAGTCGGAAGCCGAATCGCTTTGGCATCTGTCGGTCACGTCTCCCTCCATCTCGTTCCCTTTCTGCACTCCCTGAGTCTGAGCCTGGGGGTATCCTGGACCTGGATCGAGAACCTGGGCTCTCATCCTCTGTTATCCGGGATGGAGATTTCTCCATTTCTGCCTCTTTCAGCTCTTTCCCAGGCCTATTCCCAATGAAACATAAAATTTTTGGCTGAGGATTCACTTCAGCAGCCACACATCCATATGAAATGGGGGGGGTTTGCAGTAGGACAGAATCAAATTGAGATCCAAGGGAAATGAAATGGCCAGCTAGAGGGGTAAAGCCCAATTACTCTTTATGCCATGCCATCATAATACAAGAGGTAATATTCCTCATGGAGACTTCAGGCAGAGAAAGCTTACCACTTAGACATAGGTTTTTTTTTCTCAGACTACAGTAAAAGTGCATTACTTTGAACATTCCTTTGTTGTATCAATCTTCAACAGACATCTATTGAACTATCATACACTTTCCACATTATACTAAGTCTATTTCAATAGGTATTATTAATTAGGTGATTAAAATATTTTTATTTACTCACGTTCCTTTATATGATCCCTAGGAATTGCTCACTTTTCCCTCTAAATTGCTTGCTTAAATTCATCTGCTGACTAACCCAGCTGAGAGATGGGCTCCAAATATGGACCCTTGTCTGACCGGCCCATCTGCCAGACAAATTTACTTGCATGTATGAGTAAAACCATGTTCATTCACATAAAAAGAATTCCCCAGATGACCACTGGGTGTGATTGTTCATGTGAGTACGCATTGATGAAATTTTTAAAAAATAAAATGGTCATGCACAGCAACTGTTTGGGTTTAAAATGGTATGGGTTAACCCTTTCACTGCCAAGCCTGAGTAAACTCACTTTCCAACAGGCCAGAAATACTACATATGTCCATCAGATATGCTAAGATATTACTCAGATACTAAACTGTATTCTTTATGATACATTTTAGGAATAAAATGAAATCTATATATGACCCAAAAAACCAGAGTATTCTCAAGGGGTTGAAGCAATGATAAAGACCTTGCAAGAGACAGATGCTGTGCTATTAAAACTTGGCAGTGGAAGTGTTAAAGATTATGATACTTGATTCCCATATGACTCAATGAGAATGAATAAAAACACCTGGCAATCCCCAGAAAAAGTTCTGAGGCTATATTCAAAAGGAAGAGGACGTGAAATGTAATTAGTATCATTTGGCAAGATCTTCACCTTCCAAGTTCTGCAGTTAAGGTATACTTAACAAGACCTGGTTAGATTTTCCAAGACCAAGCACATTTTCTCTTTGAATGAGCAAATCTAGCAGTGACAAGAATCTTGGTCTGCCTGACAGCAGACTTGAGTAACTGCAAGTGTTTCAGCATTGAAATCCATGCATTCTGCTGTACTAGTGTGAATCATTATGGAATCATATGAATGTGAAGAACATGCTCCTTCAGGAATGAAAGCGTGGGGATATGAAAAATGGAATAAGTTCCTTCAAGTTATCAGCTGGATGCAAGAATAACAGAAAATGTCAGTGTCCTCAAAGGGAAAATGGAAGGAGGGAATGGAAAAAGGAGAGAAGGGCTGAGGGGGATGGCAAGGAATTTATTCCCTTTTAGTTATGCATGTAATGCCTATAGCAAGGAGAGTTCTTTGCTTTCTGGTTCAGATTCTTCCATGCTGGATCCACTACTTTCTGGTGAAATGGGAATGCACATTGATGAATTGCCAAGATGCAAGTGAAGGCACAACGTGCAGGACAAAATTCGGTTCCATTGACCTTTCTGCATTTGGCTGTCAAAGGAGAGAGGAATTTTCTTTTCAAGACAGAGCTCCTTTTTAAATAGAAACTTTGGGCAATGGTCCATCAGCATTCAAGGGAACAGTTAAGTTCAGATATTAAAGCTTTCCTGCAACCTAACATTGTAAACATACATATAGCTGAAGATGCTCAATAAATATGATGCTTGGTCTGCCATTGGAAATGTTGATCCTGGTTGTGGAGCATTGCATTTTGCATATGGAAATACATGCGTTTCTTTTTTATTGAAACTGCAACACATAGTCCTTTGACATACCTGGAGCAATGAAATTCATCCTAAAGCATAGGAAGGAATGTTATAATGAACCCTAGTCATAAAAAAAAGTTATGACTGAGTGATATGGGTCGATGTTTAAATCTCCTAGACTGCTTGGGTAGAGAAACAAATTATTCTGGCAGGTGCCTTTGATGACTGTGTTTACAGGGCACATGGGAAGCAAACAGCACTCATTGACTCTAAAATTGAGAAAAAAAATCAGAATAGCATTCTAAGCTAAGCTCATTCAGCTTCTCATGATTTCTGCGTACAAGCTTATTACACCTGCCATGCCAGAAAAGGGTTCCAAAGAGCTGATCCCAATATTGCTAGTGAGTGGGTGTAGTTCACAAATTCACCAGTTATGAAAATGCTAGATTTACTCAATACTTAATGTTCATTTGTGGTCTGGTCAAATTTTGGTCAGGAATGCCCAAATGGAAGTATAATAATTCCTGGTTAAACTGCCATTATGACATTAAAGTAAGTTTGGCTTTTCTTCTTTCAATTTGTCAATATGACAGACTTGATATGGCCTTTATGTCTGATGACCCCTCCCTCCAGACATCCAGCAGGATGCATTGAAAAAAAAAAAGTAAAGCTGTACCAATGCATCAGATCAGAAACCGTCAGAACAGCAGAAAAATCCTCAGGAATTGCAGAGGTAATGAGGTCATTAACATGCTAAGCACAGAGAAATTTGGACATAAAGGGGACCTACCGTGCTAAGGGTATCTTGGTACCCGATAAGGCATGAAGAGGCTGAGAAGGAATGGAAGTGCCACGAGTGCGTGTCGTATCACTGCTTGCTAGACCCAAGTGAAGAAGTGCCTCCCCAGACACTCCAACAGCTGAGCGACGCTTCTTTGGAGAATTTTCCTTTTCTTTATGGCCTCCACTGTTTATACCAATGCAGGTTGCAGCTCCAGGCAACCCTCTGGGTTGCAAATTTGCATTCCCCATGTCCCCCTTGGAATGACGGCGAATCTCCTCAGTTCTCCGACGTCTTTCAAATTTGGCAACATTCTATAGCATAATGGATGAACATAAAGGTGATTGCTAAGGCAATCTTTGAAGACAAAGATTGGAAGATGAATGACTCACGTCCTGATCTTGAAGGATTAAGTAATTGTCTACAGGTTCAAGCAATTCCATTGAGGCCACATGAGCTTCATCAGCTTGGTTATCCAATGTTCCTACATACACTGCACTGGAAAACAAGATCAAGCAAATGCAAACTATGAACAAAAGTAATAATGAAGCAGAAAAAGTCATACTATTCAAGTCTAAGCCAATAACTCCAATAAAGTTATATATTCCCCCCAAAGTTTCATAATGTGCATGACCTTTGTTTTCTTGTGAAGAACAGAATTCTGGAAATAGCCTGAATTTTTCATGGATCAAGGTTTCAATGCCTGGGGTCATATTCTCAGCACCAGGTGCATTGAGCAGGTGATTCAACTAAGTTTACTCTTTTTGAGGCCAGGAAGCAACTGCATTCAAGGTCTAGTTGAAACAAGGCTACTATGTAGTGGCAATGTTCCCCCATCACAGCTCCCTTCCCCGTGTGACTAAACAAAGGAGGAGGTACAGCTTAATTGGACCTGATAGGAGATTGTCCAAGGAATGTTGGGGATGACAGGTGTGAGGAGGGAAGCAAGGAAGGGAATGGGGAAGGGAACAGGAAAAGAGGAGGGAGCACTACTCACATCAGGTATGTTGGGGAAAGACAAGGTCATAAGGTCATGGCACAATATGTAATCTAATGAATACTGTCTCTTGCAGGATGCCCACTGATTGCCTTTTGAAAAATGTCGTTCAGCCTTTTCCTGGAGTCAAGGAAGAGGTGACTTCCTTCTCCTGGGGATCTTCTTCACACCTTTCTTCCTAGACATTGACTTTATAATCCTCTGATATCTCTGGTGGTTTGAGCATTGAGTTTCAGCAAAGGTGCTAGATGAGCTCTGTTTCCCTGAGGTGCTATATGAGGAGTATGATTCCTCAGATTCATCTGAGGATTTGGATCCACTAGAGATTTCATCTTCTTCACTAGTAATTGTCTCTTTTTCATTCACTGGTGGAGTTGCCTTTCTCTTCCTTTCCCCCATTTTCATATGTTCTCCTCCCTGGTGCCTCAGGGGATTCCTTTGACCCTTTATGTGCACTTTATAGGTTTGAGAAGGATGATTGTGCTGAGACTTTTGAGACATGCTTGATGGGCTGCTGTTGTGTCTGAAAGGGCATTACAAAGCTGAATAAAATTATGCTTCCACCATTTCAAGATTTGACTGGAGAACAGAGCTAGAATTGGTTCTAGGTGACTAATTTCTGAGCACAAGTTTCTGAATGATGAAGGTGTGAAGGGGGCTAGGTGCCAGCCCTCCTGTCTCACTGAAAGCCACTCCTGCCAACCTCTCCCAAACAAAAATATCTATAGGATTATATTCCAGCCAGATAATAGGAACAGGCAGAGGAAAGTAATGGTAAAGAATGGGAAATCAATGCATCTCCATTTATATAATGCCTTTGCAAGGGATATGTCACTAAATGCTCTCAGCAGCAGCAATGGGTAACAAGCTAACCACTGACAGCCTTATAGAGAAACAGACAGGCTAGACAGGACCAAAAATGGTCTCTTATCATTTCAAGAAGGCTTAATGATAAGTATCACATGGCTTCCAATTAGACCTATTAGAATTTATAGGTGATTTCATCTACAGGCCACAATAGGCACAAGCCAATGGTTATGAGGAAAAAATTGGCCCACCAGCCAAATGTGGCCATCGGTACAGCCCTAGTCAATATCAATATCATACAGGTATCAATATACCAATTAAATGTAACATATTGGTGAAAAAATAAACTCTTAGTTGAAATGAACATCTAAAAAAGAAAGCACATTAATTTTGTGCCATTGAGCTTATTCTCATTGCAATCAGTCTTTCTGCAAATTGCAGATTTATACTGTTATCTCCATTGGAGTATGTCCATCATATGAGAAGTGAAGGCAATGCTGGCTAAATTCCTCATACTTTGGCAACTTTGTTAGGGAGCTATTTGCTGACCAGATTACATATTCTTACAAGAAAGGCTATCAATGCATTTGACTGGGATTATTTATACTTTCACCAGAAATCTAATGATAAATATATTATGAGCATAATGACTTGAGGGAACTCACTCAGTGGATGTCACTCTCTTTGGCTGAGGTGGAGTGACTTTGGCAGGTGTGTCATCACTCTGGATCTTCTCCCAGTCAAATGGTTCAGATTCCTTGATCCCTCGTTTCTTCATGCATCGTTCCAGGACACCCTGTAGCATCTGGTTGGACAGAACAGTAGAGTTTATCCCAGTTTAACAGTTGTTTCCACACACTCAGCTTAAGTGAACTGCTTTGTGTGCAGGTGAGAACTCACTGCATAGTCTGGCTTATCAAAATACTCCAATTCTGAGATGTGATCCAGAAACTGCCGGAAGTCTGATGGCAAATGCTTAATGAGAATCCTGTGATCATACTTCTCCTTCATGATGCCAACCTTCAAAGACATCAAATCAGGTTAATTGTTTCAGTCTCACTTTGAGATTTTTCCCACAATTTTATAGCCATGCTTCCAATAACATGCTAACTCTGATATTTTCCATTAAAATCTCATGCACCTTGCTGAGAGTACAGCTCCAAGCAAGTACCTTGCCTCCTCTTATTTATTCCAAACAATTATAGTTTTTTAAAGGAGGGTTATAAAAGATGGGTTGAGTGAAAGTGCATGGACACCAATGCATGAGCAGATGTGTAGAAAAAACTTTGCCACATCCAAGCCTTTTGAGCATCAACTGATTATGTGGTGGAATTGTTAGGATTTTTAATTTTGTGTCCAAATATACAGGGTGACCAAAATAAAGTCCCCCATTTTGAATGTCTGTCATTTCCAGTAAAATGCATACTTCTTTTTATTTCCAGGTGAACTAGAGATAAAGCCCTACATTTTATTTTGACATCATCATGAATTGAGAAATTCAGTATTCCTTGCAGGAGTGGATCAAAATAGTGGAAGCATATTTTTCTACAAAATCAATAGTTTTGACAAAGTGGCAGTTCAAAAGGGACTTTCCAAAAAGACATCCACCCTGGTGGATGGTGGATGTTTTCCTGGAAAGTCCTTTTAGAATTGCTGAATTTTGAATTGTCAAAACTATAGATTTCATATAAAAATATGCTTTGCATATATAAAAATATGCATAGTTGAATTTTTCACACCAAAAGCACGCAGGCTCAAGTGATTTCAAGGACTTCGATTGCACCACTGAAAGGAATTAGCTTTAAAAAGTTCAAGCATGGTACCCTCCCCAAAACATGAAAACTTTCCAAAATTTAGCATTTTAGTTTGAGCAGTTATCAAGATATACTGCCCAAAGGTAGTGATTTGAGGGGGAAAATGATTCTGAGTCAACTATATTCAGTCTTATTGAAGTGAGAAAAGTGCAATGTGGTTCATAGTAACACTGAAATATAGCGGAATCAGATTTGTTTCATGCATTTTTTTATATCTTCACTGCAAAAAAGTCCATTTTAAAAATATTTGACAAAATGCAAAAAACTTGCATCAAAGTATTGAATGGTGAGAATCACAGTAACACAATAGCTTTGCAACATTGCCATACTTGCCAATAACTCAGAATTACATTATCATATTTCTTCATTTCAAACATTGGCAAGTTGACTTAGAAATATCCTGTTTTCATTCACTTCACTCATTTCCTGCTTGAAATGTGACAAAAACTTAAAACAAGTATCAATTTATAAAGGTCTCCCGAAGCCCTTTCCATTGCTCCATGACAAATGCTGTTAGCGTAAATTTTCAAGTCCATGTATTTCTTTTTGTATCTGTTAACTTGTCATTTTTATTTTAAAATTTTTAACCCAAATTTCCTATAATTGGAATCCTGATTATGCAACTCTGTTTCAACAGCAACCTATTAATACCTTCTGTTCCATTTGTAACTTTGCTTCAAGCATCAGCATATTAAAATGTGAATATTTCCATGATTTCAACACTTTCCTATTTCAGACAAGGTAATTCTTCTAAATATGAAGGTTTTTGCATACAGCCCAGATAGAGCCCAGTCAGACCGTGGTGCCCTCCCAAGATGAAAATTTTGCCTGGAATACAGGCAAGGACTGCCTAACATAAATCTTGGAAAACTCTGGGAATGAAGGATAACCATCCAATCCACAATGTTGCTCTAAAAAATCTGTTGTGTTTAAAATGATTTAATGTTAAGTTTCTTTATTGGCTGAAATGCTTTCAAAACCAAATAGTTTACTACTGTTCAAGCACTTGCAGGTTGTTATACAAAATGCAAACTTGACACAGAAGTAATTAAGCATATACTCATTGAAAACTTTAAGCTGACAGAAATATCCAGGAGATTCTAAAACTTAACTTCATGGCATGCAACATCACCAAAGAAGCAGACATGTAAGAAGCGGGACTCTTCTCATGCATATGAAACCTGGATGCAGACTCAAGCAAACATATGAAACCATGCAATCCAGAGCATAGAAACCAGGAGAAGGGGATGGTGAAGCACTCTACCTGCTCTTTATCTTTGATTTTCCTCCAAGGAAGAGATCCATTGACAAACTCCACAAGCATATAGAAGAGAGACCACAAATCATCTTGGCGACCCATTTCCTGCATGAGTCCATCCAGGAGAAAAGAGAAGCTTCCAGTTAGTCCATTAGAATCAAGCAAAAGATACTAATACAGATACCCTTCCTATCCTTAAGAATAGAAGAGATGCATCAAGTAGTAGTAGCTGATTGCTGAACATGCTTAATAGAAGGAGTTTCCTCCAGTAGAAAATTCCATCACCAGTGATATCATGAGTGTGCATATTCAACCAACAGACCTTGTTCTTATGGGCATTGATGGAAGCATATCGAACTGTCCCACGGAAACCTGCTGCTGCCCTTGGGGTGCGGACCTCACCATTTGCATTTGTGTACTGCCTTGCTAGGCCAAAGTCCAAGATGTACACCTTCCTTGTTGTGCCAGGTGTCCTCCCCATGGCAAAGTTACTCTATGGCCATAAGGTAGGACAAATGGTCTGACAATTCCTGACAAAACAGTCTGAGACTGCCAAGTACAAGAAAAACTTACAGGTTTGACATCACGGTGTAAGAACCCAACATCATGTATATTCTCAATTGCCCGAAGCATCTGAGTGCCTAACCGAAGGGTTGTGGATAAAGTGAATGTCCCTCGAGGCATAGACCGTCTCAACTCAGCCAAGTTCTTCCCTTGCAGTTGCATCACTACATAGTTGAAGCGGTCATTTCTTCCACAGCCAATGAACTTGCATACATGATCTCGTCCTGGGAAACCCACAGAAGCACTCAATAATTCAGTAATTTACTTTCACAATAATGCATTGAGAAAATTTAATTACTTCCTGTACAATCTTCCTTATCTGAAGGTCTATAATGGAGCAGGTAGGGAGAAATATCTCACCTTGCAGTTTCTTCAGAACTGCAACTTCCATCTTGAGGACCTGCTTCTGTTGTTTGGCAGATTCCAATTTAAGTGCAACATTCTCCTTCGTGGCCATATCCACAGCTTCATAGATTTCTCCAAAGCCTCCCCCTCCAATCTTCTTCACCTGGAATAAGAAAGTGGTCCATCAAACACATACCCACTTAAACTCTTATAAAAGAAACATCTTTGACTCTTCTGGTCTAAGTGCTGGTGATTAATGACAAAACATATGGGTGTCAACAGGTATGAAAGGGGAACCCCAGTCTCATGATTCACAGGTAATTTGAGAGCTATTTGTGCTAGGTAAAAATGGAATGGGAATGGGAGGAGACACTGCAGCCAGTAGGAAGACATACAATGTAATGGGGGAGGGTTCCCATATACGCATGACCTTGGCAATGAGCCAGGCTTTACTACTAGGACACATGATATGGACATAATCTCATGTCTAATACAGATACCCCTGCCTTTTAAAAATTTTCTTTCCAGAGATAGCAGGAGCTTCAACTCATCCTACTCTTCATTCATTTCAATGGATGGGGAAAATTTGATGGTAGCAAAAAAAAAGCAAATTTAGAGAACACAAGAATCCCATTCTGACAACTCAGTCTTCATTAGGAAGCATGGGGACACAGGCATAATGAGAGCCACCAATCTCTTCCAAATGATGTTGTGAGGGAAAGCAATAAAAGACGAGCAAACAAGCCCTTATTTTTTATTTCTCACTCAGCCACTAAATGGCTCCATGCCAGGAAGAGAGTCCCCCATTGACTTCAACCTCCAACCTTTCCTCCCACATTTTTTTTAATGCTATCTCTCTCATTTTGGGAGACCTGATTCAAATACTAGGCCAGCATGTACTATTTGCCAGGGATGCCAGTAGAAACATGCTGGCATGTTGACAACATGCAGATTGTCTCAGTCAATATGTGTCAAAAAAACAAGGGGCTGGAGAGGAGAAGCCAGAATGGGACAAGGGCAGGAAAGAAGAAACGTGACATCAAGGAAATGGAGCAGGCAAATAAGGTATTCTATGCCAACTGGGTGAATCTCTGTAGGCCTAAATTATGTTTTCCTCATGCTCAGAGTGAATATGTGCAATTTTTTAATCAGGAACAAGAAGAATGTTGATCAATATCTTCAGTTCCTGCTCTGTTCGCTTCTTACATAAATTTTTTGTAACTTGACAGCACAACTTGTCAACATTTACCAGACAGTTCATCACATGAATAACACAGATTTTAGTCATATCTAGCCTCTATCTTGGTTTTACACATGATAGCAATGAAAATCATTTCTTCAACTTAATTTTGATAGCTGACAAGGTGTTACATGTAAAACATTCACTTCTTACAAATTGAAGCTAATTAACTTATGTCCCCAAGCATTCAAATGAGACATATTGCTGGAACTTTGAACAGCCATAATGCAGATCAGCAATAATGGTGCGTTCTGTCAACCCCCACCCCACTCCCCCCAATTTACCAAATTCCTTATATACCAATTTTCGGGGAGTTCCGTTCCATAATATTCAAATGAGACACAGCATACGAATTTGAAACTCTAGGCCCTAGGGGATCTGGTGAGGAAGGGGGGAGTTACTTCTCGTCATCAGAGATCCCTAATTTCCCTTTATAACAATTTTCCGTGAATTCTGTCTCAGCATTCTAAAGCGACGTTCGAAATTGAAACGGGCTTTCTTTGGATGCGACCCGTCGACACCAGGCGAACACGCAATCAGAAGGCGTGTCTCTTTCTCCGGTCCATTACAGTTGCTGGCAAAAAAAAAGGGCACCCTTCCCGTCAGCGCTTGGCACGATCGCGTTATTAAATGACGTCACTCTCGGGCAAGCAGCTGCCAGCGGAACTTGGTGAACTATGAGAGTGCTGAACAGGCCAGCAGGAATGTGATGTCATGAGATGCTGAAAGCGGCAGCAGAGCTGCTTAGAAAACAGACGGATCCAGAGACCTCGAGTTCTGAAGCTTACAGGGCTAAGCGGGCTGTGGGCCCGGCCCGACACGATCCACGGGTCGGGTCCGCAAAGCTCGGTCAACGGTCAAGTTTCCGGTCGGGTGCGGGTCAAGATCCAAATAGGACCGATGGGATCGAGTTCGGAAAAGCCGATCCGTGCAGGCCTCCGGCGGACAAATAGGAACACAAAAAAAAGTTGACTATTCGTCGGCATAGAAGTATTGGGCGAAGAAGCACCATGGGATAATTATACCACGGTGTTGACTTCTCCATTGTCTGAACTCATCAAATGGTGGCCCATGTTAATATGGAAGTGAACAATCTCACATAATCCTTATGGATAATTCCTCCTCTTGAACAAAAATGTAACAAAGTAGCATTCATGTATCCATATAGTCATACTTCTTTCCACTGCAAAGTTTTTAACCGGTTTCCATTTTCTTGGGTTACTTCAAATTTTTGCTTTCTTTCGATAGCTGCCATAATGTGGTATCAATTTTTACTCTGTTATTAACCCTTTAGCGCCCACCCCAAGATATCTCGTTTTGGCCTAATGTCTTCTGCTCACAAATTATTTCATTTCTAATATTTCCATTCAAATATTCAAAACATTCCATTCACTTTAAAATATTAAAACTCCAACGCTCTAAGCAGGATGGCTGCTGAGTTATAAATGTTTATGAGGGATGGAAAAAATTCTGATTGATAGTGCCAACATATTTAAAATATATGGATGCAAAAGGGTTAAAATGTGCACCACACAGACACCTATAGAAAAAGTATACTTGCCTGTTATCTTTACACTGATACTGTCAGAGTCATTACACTGCATGGCAGCAGTGAAGCTGGTGTAGCTGCAGCTGGCTACTCAGCATTCAAAATAATGGATCTTTCACAAAAAAAAGAAAGGCCAGTGGATGCATGCTGGAGTGCCTTCTTGGCAAGACATCACAACCAATATCACAGTTCCTCATACAAGTTCAAAAGAGCATTTATCCTCAATTGACCAGGAGAAGCATTAGGTGGTTTTCACTCACCACTGTTCTTTTATTTTTAAATAATCTTCAAAAAGCTTGTTATAGCATGTGGATTATATATAACATTGAGAGTGGCAAAGGGTAACATTTGCCAAGCACTTGAATCTGTTACATAATTGCCAGGACAGCTACAGCACAAGTATCCTGCTCCCTGCTCCCAATGCTAGGTGTTCTTCACCTTGCAGCTTTTACATCTGCAACAAGCCTTTCTTACTCATATGGTAAGAACACTGAATTGTTGGAAGACATACAGCTCATACAGCTCCCATACAGCTTTTCAACTTATCTTAATGAATTACATTGGAAATTGATTAGATGAAAGCCACAAAACCTACAGAATATTTTTTAAAATTCACTCTCTCTTACTAACTCAACACATGTGAGTGAAAAGTGACTATCAGTGGATCAGAAATAAAAGGGGTGGTAAGTCCCATGATAGTAAGTTTGCCTAATGGCACTTTCATTGCCTGTAATGTCCACAAGGTATTCTGAAAGTTTATGACCTACTAACTTATTTCTGTTCCACAGCCAGGAACACTCTAGGAACCAACTACTGCATCAATACTTGATATGACTTCTGCCAGTCCAGGAACTTCAGATCAGCATCCTGAAGCTCTCAATGAACTGATGGGTGTCATTCATTATAATGGTTTCTCACTCCTCATGAATCCTGGTAATGAGTTACACTTGATTTCTAGGATGGGACATGTGCAGAACTCTCTATTGGAGCTTGTGTCACAGGTGTTCAAGGAGGTTAAGGTCCAGAAAGCTCCTTGGCCACTTCTTCCAGACCTGAACACCAGCCTCTATGATGACACAAAATATGAGGCCAGCCATGTGGTATGGGGCTCTGTATCAGCACATTGTTATTTTGCCTGGGCAGGTAGCCTGGTTCTTCACATATCCCATGTAGAGAGGCAGGATGTCTTACATTAGTTTGCATAGCATTTACCTACACTTTGCTCAGGTGGGCTACACACTTTTGAAACAACCTATATAAGGCACCAGCTAACTGCATATCCTACGTATTTTTTAAATGCCACCTGAACCTGCATGACAGTTCCTTGTGTAGGGTAATTTGCATGCAAGTTAACCTACACAATTAAAAAATTTGTAAAGCATGGTTCATCCTTCCCTTGTGTGATTCACATGAAAGCTTTATGAGGCAAGTTCGACTTTACACCTCAGTTCTAATATCAGGTCACCAAAGGAAAGAAGAGGGAGAGCTCCAAATTGTAAGTAGTATCATTATTCCCATTTTTCCCAAGTACTAGATATTGATTTTGCAAATTTATGAAACAGCAGCAAAGCCAGACCACCCAGGATCAAATGAGGCTCAGATTTGCACTTGTGATGAAACAACACATCACACATTTAAGATAGTTTTTTTTGGCCGTTCAGGAATCAGTTTGGATTTGACAGGGTATAAATTATAGTATATACAAATAGGATCAGACCAGGAAATTAAGAGTCTGTACTTGCCTCTAATTTAAGGTGAATCAAAATGTTCTTGAAAACCACAGGCCTACATTCATAATTAGGAAAGTAACAGGGCATTTGAAACTGGTTAATTATAACATTAGTCAAGATTCAAGAGACAGCTGTTCCAATTCAAATTTCAATTGACAATGGGAGGAAATATAGCTTACTCACCACTTTCCATCGTTCCTTCACAACATGGCCTGGCTGTAGCAGGTCCTCAGAAGTGACGCTGGAACTCATAACTGGGAGACGAAAGTAGTCAGGAAAGTGATACTGCACAACTCCTTAGAGCTTATCCAGAGGAATCAAGTGGTCCAGCTAGGCACCTGGGACCCAGATTGACATCGAGTCCAGTCACCAATAGGGAATGAATCTGCACGATATATACATGCACTCATGAGTCACTCGCATGAACAGTACCATATGCTGCCTGTCATCCCTCTGTCAAGAAAGTGAGAATGAGTGGCAGGGGAAACCCCTTTAAGAGGCTCACGGAGACAGAGGAGGATACACAGAGAGAGAATTTCCAGACTCCCCAGCTGAGCTGGGAGCCTTGCCAAAAGGAGCAGGCCAATGTCAGCAGCGTGAATGTTGCCTACAACCCACTCATCCCCACAAAGGAGGTTATCAGGCAGTCACAACAAAAAAAAGGATGAGAAATGGGAACAAACCTATGAAAGACAGATTCTGTTTCCCAGTAAAAGAAAAAACTATGAGCAATAAGCCTACCACATGCAACAGCTGACCTAGTAAGTCTACTTTGTTGGGCATGTGAGACAGTACCATATCACATCCAATATGGATACACACTTCATGTTCTATATTTCATTGATGATTAGGAGAGAGAATGCAATGGCATAACCATTGAATGTATTTTGCATACTTGTAAAAAAATTTATTGGACTGCCAGTCCCATGCACTCCTTCAGAGTTTTCACACACTAAAACATTTATTAAATCACATGCTAGTAGGTGAATGGGTTACAGTTAAACCATTCAAATTACAGTTTACCTTAACCTTTATCAGATGAAAGAGACAACTGCTGTCTCACAGAATGTACTTTTCTGTGGCCTAAAGAAACAAATGCTATATCAGAACTTCTTTGAAAAATGTTCTGATACTACATCAATAATGGCTTCACTGTCAACAGTTTATTTTTAGAACTGTCCCACTACTCAGCTAGCAAGCAACAAGCTGCATATAAAAAAATCAGGCTCCCAGCACTTACACTGGAGATTTAAATCCATACAATAAAGGCTAATTAATTACCAGTATTCAAATGAAATCAGATCAACTTTCAAATTTTCGCACAAATATTTTAGCCCTCAAACTGTTTCTCCTAAAATTACATATGCTTGAAAAACAACCAATTTCAATGGCAACAGAATTTCAAGAAATTGTTCATTTAAAACAGCAACATACATTACACACATTCATAAAATCTCAACTGTCTCTACCTCTTACAAAATTCAACAGCATTAGGGTTGGTTGACTTGACTCAGGATTTACAGGAGTGTTGACTTTCCAAACTAACCTTGACCCATGGGTAATCAATTTGTCTGGATAAATGACCAATTGAGAAAAATGAAAGGGACCATCAACACAGTACATAATTAACCCTTTGTTGCATGATGCCCACATCTGTGGATACTTCTTAACATTTACTTGGCAGTCCCATTCTACACAAGTTTCACTAGAATATCATGCCCAATTTGCATACATCACAACTTTCATAAATAAATCTGAAATGATTTGCCCTGCCACTCTCCAAGGACTTATAGGCCATCTGTCTAATTCCAGTATGGAATCCTCCAGTAATTACAGAAAGGTGTTTTTTTCATACTTCCATGTGACATTCATAAAACCATTTTTGGAATAGGTGCAAAGACACTGGAATACATTTTTGATTAAACACTTCTACCTATTGAGCAACTTCAAGTTCCTATCACTGACTTTTACAGACCAAGTCAAAGGGTGTGGTGGACTCAGAAGACAGTAAAATACCAGTCTAGCAAGAAAGACAAAAATAAAGGTATAAGAAAACAACATTTTGTCATATCAGTATGACACAAAATTGGAAGCATCACAACATATTGCCTATTCACTCAAGCAGTTAATCTTCCAATTGCCCCAGGACCTAACTCTCATCTAATTTGTCTCTTGACTTCCACAGCATTTTTATGTAACAAAGTCAAACAGCTGAGAATTTTGTGTTAAAGGTAAATGGATATCTGCTTTGCTCACATGTAAAATATATCTAAAATAAATATAAGAACAATCTGAATTTATTATTACACCCACATTTTCTCATCTTACTCAAAGACTGCTCACAAGGCACAAAAGACAGACTGTACAATGCAAATGGAGGTATATAAAGTGAGTGGCAAGTCAAGAAAACCCAGGAAACCTCTGTTCAATTACATACTATCCTGACTTTTTTCCTGGAATTGGCCTGGGTCTGTGACCCTCAGTTGACTCAATCCAAAGCAGACAGCACTAAAGCCCAAGCATTTCAACCACAATCATGCTTTTTGGACTTGGTAAATCCTCACAAAGCCTCCACAGTCAAAATAAGGCAACCATTCCCGAAGACCAGAATAAGCATGTGGTAACCCCTACAATGCATCCCTTGAAGAGGTGGATGGGACCATAACCGGGATCTAAACGGCCACCTCGTCTACCTGATGGGGGGCTTCAATGCGCACGCTGGGAATCATGAAACTACATGGAGTGGGGTGATAGGCTGCTCTGGAGAAGTCAAACCAAATGGGAATGGCAAAAGGTTGCCAAGCTTTTGTGCTGGCAATGGACTGACCATTACCAACACCTTCTTCCAACACAAGAGCATCTGCAAGTATAATTGGTACAGGTCTGATACTCGGACTGGTACTGTGCACCAGCAATCGCTGATTGACTATGTGATCGTTTCGGCTGACTTGTGGAACCTGGTAACGGATAAGAGCATGGGGTCGAACCAAGCACCGACCACCATCAAGTGATTAGCAAACTCCGGATGCGGATGAATCTCTGAATGAGGCAAAAAACCGCACGTGTTGCAAAACGTGAGGTGGGAAAGCAGAGGCGATGAGAAAACTCGCCACGAGTTGCCAAGGGCAATCGGCGAAAATGATTCAAAACTGCCTCGACAGATTTAATGGGATCTATTTCGATCTGGCGTTATGGTCGCGGCAATGAAACCATGAGGCGAAATGCGAATCGATGCGGCACGCGGTAACACAAAACTGACTGGTGAACACCAGAAGTACGGTTAGTTTCTGCTTCCAAGGCAGCGTATAGGGCGTATACGTCAAAAAGGTCGGACCCTTCGCGGGCGTGTTACAGAGGTGTGAAAAACTGTTGCTCGAGCCGTAGCCGAAGCGGAACGAGAAGCATGGAAATTTTTCGGAAAAGAAACGGAACGCGACTACCTCTTTACTAACAAGGTATTTTGCCAGACCGTTCGCAGGCTGCGATAAGGCAGGCAACATACTCTCCGGGTAGCGAAAGACCGAAACAGGAAGGTCTTGGCTGCCCAAGCAGAAATACCCTAAAGGTGGAACATTTTGAGTGAGTTCTTGAATCCACCCACCGCGTATTCTGATGTACCCTACTCGGAGCCTATCTGCGCGGAGAATTGTTTAACCATCGAGGAAGTTCAACAAGCAATGGCAAACTTGAAGTATGTGAAGTCTCCTGGCATGGATGAAATCCGTACAGAGACACTAAAAGCAATGGGCACCGACGGGTGCTCGTGGTTGCTTAGAATATGGCGAATCGAAAGGCAATTGGGGACAGCACCTCGTGATCACACCATCACGAGATTGGCAGACTGGAATGGTGGTTCCACTTTTCAGCCCTTGCTTCCTCTCTGGGGCCTTTTATGACCAGACCCCCCCCCCAAAAAAAAATTTCTTTAAAGTTTTAACGGAAATTATTACTGGAAGTAGTTTTTCTTTTTGGACTATAAATATACCCTAGCGGCGAAATAATTCGTAAGAGTATTCAGAAATACACTGGGGTAAAAAATATATATATCAATAGGCGCGGTAGCGCCTATTCCCTTTCTTCAACCCCTTCCCGTCACAAAATCCAACCTCCTCGTATTCCTCTCTGAGAGGATCTACAGGTACGAAATTGGGCAGACTTCTTCCCATCTCAACACAGAATCGCTCCAGCAAATTTGAAGTTCTATCTCCTCCGGGTTGTGAAGAAAACTGAATCTCCCTTTTTGAAGATGCCAATTTCATTCCGTTTTTTTTTTTCTCTCTCCCCCCCTGGCTAGGCACTCCTGGGAGGTTTTCAGAAGAAAGAGACCAACCATAAGAAAGATATCAACTCGTAGATGACGAAAACTGGCTTTTTTGCTGTTTGCGATGCTCCATTTCGCCATAAAAAATTTAATTAGCTGTCGTTCAATTAGGCTTAGAGAGCTTGCTCCGGCACCGTCCCCCAGTGTTGCCGGATACCGTGCCGAAATTATGCCAGAATCAAGACTGTTTCAACCTTCGTATTGGCGTCTGGATCTTCTGTTTTTTAATGCATGAGACATGTTTGTGCTGATTTCATGAGATGAGTTGAGAATGAAGCGGTGGTTAGCTGTTATTGATCGATGTGGTGGGATATGCTGATATCTTATTCGGACATCCCTGAATTAACAGGATGGCGCGTACCATGGATTCTCCTTAACCAGATGTCTCGAAGACCACGATTCACCCTTATAGGCCTAATTGGCGCCGTAAATCGAGAATTGAGTTTCTTTTGAAAAGGAAAAGGTAGGCCTTGACGTGATCTGAAGGCAGTCTGTTGGTTAGGCCTAAGCCTTACGTTAGTGAGTCCCGTAGAGAGGCTGGAGGGGGGGAGGTTGAATTGAAATTGGTTTTCACATTACTTCATATATATATATATATATATAGGGTTGTTGATGAGAACGAAATGACTAACTCAAAACAGGATGGAATAAATTGTTCATTCCCCAACGTTTCGACATTTTCATGCCTTTCTCAAGGGGAAATAGGCTCATGAGGTACATTCTTGACCCTTAACGAAGAAATTGAAAGAAAATATAGTGGGTTAAGTAAGAGATGTCCTTGTTTAGCCCCAATGTGTGGGTTCTCCATTTGATGATTCTCTTGAGTTCTTCCAACCTTCTTTGTTTAGTATCCATGAGGTCTCCAGCAAAGATATCCGACCATCATGTCATCGATGGAGTGAAATGCTTGACTGAAATGTTCCGCCACAGGTAGGTTGGAAATCCCCCGTCGAACACTACTCTTGTGGTTGTTGATGCGGAGACAGAAAGATGTTTCCGTCTCCCCAATGTATCTTTTGTTGCATCATTTGCAAGCTATGGAATAGATGACATGAGAAGAGTCACAATTATACTTCCCTGAAGTGGATTGGAAGTGTCGGCACACCTTACATCTCGGTTTCTTGCATGGAGCTCTGCAGTTCCTTGGCGAGGTCGTTGATGGAGAAGGAAAAGCCGCTCTGACTAGAAGAGCTTTCAAATTCGGAGGCTGTCGATAGGTGATCAGAGGAGGGTTTGGAAATATCAGCTTTTGATTCTGATCTTGCTGCAGGATATGGAAGTGGCGTGTTAAAATCTTGCCAACGAAAAGTAGAGAAGGGTGGAACGTCAAAACGCATAGTATGCATTCCACATTATGGTCTTTATGTTGGAAGAGCTCTTTCCGAGAAAAGTTGTCAGCCTTCGAAAAAGCCCTGAAGAGATCTAGATAAATTCCCCAAATGACCCAGGTATATTCTCCTTTCCTTGCAGAGTTTCTTCAGCCTGAGTGCTTGGGCATATGGGATAGAGCTTTTCAGATGATGGGGATGGGAACTCTGATAGTGTAGAAATGCCCCTGCGTCAGTAGGTTTTTTGAAAAGGTCAGTCGAGAGCCTGCCATCACGAATTTCTATGATAATGTCCAGAAAAGGTATATTTCTCTGGGAGCTTTGAAAATAGAACTTGATAGTTGGATGGAAGGAGTTTGTCAAATCTATGAAATCAGTCAAGGCTGGAGTACCAGTTGTCCAAATCAGGAACAGGTCATCGATGTACCTCTTGTATGTGAAGGGCAGTGAAGGAATGCTTGTCAAGAGGTGCTGCTCCAAATTGTGCATGAAAATTATGGCAAAAGATGGAACCATACGGGTGCCCATGGCGGTGCCTTGAATTTGCAGGAAATGTTGCCCATTGAAGATAAAGTTGTTATGTGTGAGGATGAAATGCATGATATCCACAATAACTTCAACGTCCTCAGAGCAGAATCGATGTGTTTCCAGGAAGTGTCGCGTGGCAAGGAGGCCCTCTTCAGTTGGGATATTGGTGTACAATGATGTCACATCAGCAGTCACAAGGATAGCATCATGGGGCATTCAACGTCCTCAGAGCAGAATCGATGTGTTTCCAGGAAGTGTCGCGTGGCAAGGAGGCCCTCTTCAGTTGGGATATTGGTGTACAATGATGTCACATCAGCAGTCACAAGGATAGCATCATGGGGCAATGTGGGTGTATCTTGTAGTAGTTGGAGCATGTGAGTTGTGTCTTTCACAAAGCTTGGAATTGCGGGTAGAAGTGGTTTTAGTAGTTCATCCACGAAACCAGAAAGATGTTCCATCAAAGTCCCAATGCCAGACACAATTGGACGTCCTGGAACAGGCCTACCTTTCTTATGTATCTTCGGCAGGAGATAGAATCAGCCTGGTTGAGGATGATTAGGGACAAGTTTGCAGAGGACGTGAAAGCGAGATGGAAAAGAATAGATCAAAGTAAGGAGTTCAGTCCTATAATCAGAAGAAGGATCAGTTTGGAGGTAGTTGTAGTGGGCAGAATTGTTTAGTTGTCTCTGAGCTTCTTCCAAATATTCTTCCCTATCTAAGAGAACAACTGCTCCTCCCTTGTCAGCTGGTTTAATGACAATCTCCTTGTCATGCCTGAGTCCATCAAGAGCCTTCCTTTCTATTGTAGAGAGATTGCCAGTTTTTCTACTCCGTGAAACCTTGCACAGGGCTGCATTCAATCCCTGTCTCACTAGAGTACCATATTGTTGAAGTTCCTCACTTATGCTGGGTGGATTCCATAGAGGATTGTGGGACTGGGAGAGTTTCTCCAGAGAAACCAGCTTCTCATGAGTATCAGTCAAGGTGTAAGGAGCAAAAGACGTATGCAGATCTTGACCAAAGAAATGTTCCTTCAAAGCCAATCGGCGAAGGTAATCTTCAACGTCTGAAACTACTTGAACAACATTAGGGTTTTGAGAGGGACAAAAACTGAGACCCTTTCCCAGGACAGCCAGTTCAACTAAGGAAAGTTGTTTCTTGGAAAGGTTTACAACTGTCCGGTCTGTCGAAATTGTTCCATATTTTTCCCTTCTCAGCCGTTTGAGTTTCTGGAGTTTCTTAGGGAAAAATGTCTTCCACATCCTTTGAGTCTGAAGTTCGATCTTATGCAGCTCAATGGTAACTTGTTGTGTTTGAGGTAATGACATCAAAACTCCTTTGGTATAGCTAATGGATGTTGTAAGATTCCGTTGCTTAGAGTAGAGGATGTGAATGAGGTGATTTCGAAGTTTTTCAGAAGCAGAAGAAACTCTCTGTCTCCTGTGTGCCTACCGAGAGTTGAAAAGAGAGTCTTCCTATCTTAAATGAATGGCAAACGACCAGTCGATTTGCCTCATTTAAGGTGGATGGACAAAATGGAGAATCGTTGCCATGAGAGGCTCAGAAAGTCTGCAGGTTTGAGTCTATTTACAGGACGTCTAAAAAAAAACGTTAAGGCTGTAATGTTTTTTTTTATAATTGCATTGAACTTGAAAAAAAAAACATTTTTTGTGTCGGTTAGAAAGAGAGGAGATTAAGCTTTCTTCTGCTGAAAACCAAATGAAAATCTACAATTTCTGACATGAGATATGGTACAGTGAATTTTAAACTAAAATAAATTTACACACTATCATAAAAGGACATGTTCAAGATGTGCTCAATGTGAGTTCAAGGTGTGCACGGTGAGATTGAGACGGGTCACCGAGAAGATTCTTTCATTTGATGAATTCTGAGGGGATTTTTGCTGACAAATGCCCAAAAACCAGCAATAGAGTGAGGAGTCTCCTGGCAGTACACTAGTGCATCCCTCGCTTTTTCCAAGCGCTTGCATTGCTGGATTTTCTTACATAAACTGCTTGCAGCAATTCACCAGCATGTCTGAATTTTGCTAATGTGAAGTTGGTCTTTCTGTATCTCATCTGAGTTCATTGATCTTTATGCAACCTTCAGCAATCGAAAGCACAATCTCTACTCATTTTAACTGCCATAAAAATTTCAAATTCAAATTTAATATGGTACAGGAAAAATCACTTCTTGCTGCATTAACTTTTTTTTGGAGACCCCTGTGTAAGCCTAACAAACATGAAGTAGGCTTGGTGCTCCTATTAAAGCCTATTTTTGACCAAGAAATTTAGTTACTTTCTGTGATTTTCCTGTGCAAACTTTTATACAGAATAAACGTTTTTGCAGCATGAACTTAAAGCAGGTTCCTATCTTTATCAACAAGGTCAAAAACTCCTGAAAGTTATTCAACAGCTTATGTACAGACAGCAGAGACGCACCGACTTTGTCCATTGAACTTTTTGTGTTCTATCAACATAGGCGATTGCAGTTACTCAATATATGGTGGAATAGATCCATAACTGTGCAATCCAATACACCTATGCCGAGCATCCACTATGCATGGGTATCTTCAATCTTTCTGCAATGTTTTCAACCATGACTGACAACAGCCAATCACAAAGGGAAAGACTCTAAAATATGACCTCACCTAAACCAACTGTCAGCTTTTATGAATTTCAAAGTCTGGGGATTAAAAAACCAAACCAAAAAATGAAAATAACTCCCTTGTGAAACTCATTCTCTTCACTGTCTCTAATGCATATAATTAACATGGGTTTGATTTCATTGACACTGGCAAGTGACACTCACAGACCTAGATATATGCAGAAATTCAGTTGAGAAGAAAAATTATATACAATATACAACATAAGTACAGTACAAGCACAGTTAAATTAGGCTTGGACTATGATAATGATATGAGATATTGGCATTTATTTGCAATTCCATCAATAAGCCATTATGTGAGTGATAAGAAGCATGGAGGTTCCTTCTGCTGAATACACCCAAAACTTGATCTCCTAAATTCATGTGGATTACTCCCTTGAAAAGTCCATATGGCCTAATTTAATCCTTTGTCAATCAATAGTAAACCATTCTTCCATTTTTCAGTCTTCCAACAGTTTATTCAATATGTATCATGGTTAAAATAACACGAGAAAGATGATACAGTACAGGCAACCTGCAATAAATTTAGTCAACTCAAGTTTTACAATTTTGATCTGATTTTTGACATCACCTGAATTCTCGGTCCTTTCCATCCTGCTTCACGTAGAATCAGATTCTTACCAACACTTCACAAAATAAAAAATGTGTCAATTGTGGAGTTGGGAGAACAGGAAACATTTCTAGGATCATTTAAGTGGTAGTTGCACTTGTTGGGCAGAAATTAAAAATAAAGTCCACACTAGTATAGCACTTTACCAAACCCTACCAAGAGGAATGCCTAAATTTTCCTCAAATAATGTAGTTACCTGGCAATCTGCATGGAAATATAGTGTCATCATTAATTTTTCTGCATTGATTCATGAGTCAGTGTAGCTGGTATGTCACAGTTAATGACATAAGAGCTTTGGCAACTGATATGAGTTAATTTTGATCATCAAAATTAACTGATACCAGCAAGAGATACAGTTCACATTCTAAGTCTTACAACAGCCCCAGTGCAAGGTAAAATGTTAGAGGGACTCATTACTGACCTTACAATATACCTAATATGGATCATATAAAGCTATGGCCTATCCAGCCATGTCTATATTACAGACCATAATGCATATTTTAATAGGAATGAATAGGCTTACCTTTGGATGAAACATAAAAGAGATTCCATTGAGATGCTTCATTTTGTTCCAATCAAGGTCCTAAAAGTGACACTCATGGAAAATATGGCAAAGTCAAGCTTTGAACAATGCACACTTGGTTGAGCCTTCCTTCTATGCACAATACCACTTCTAATGAAATTGCCAGACTGTAGAATGACTAGAATCCTAAACTACATTGCATAGGCCTTCAGTACAGAAGAATTTACAAGGGTGGGGAGCATCCAGATAAGATCCCCCAAAAATATCTGCAAAAAAAAAAAAACCATTTCATTTCATGCATTTATGCAGTACCATTAAAAAAAAAGCATAATAGACCCTTGCTGCTTGTATACCTATTGATTTCCATGGCCATGGTTTTGGAATATAATCATGCTCTTCCAATGTTATTGATAATAAGTGCAGTTGTATATGGGAATACATATTCTAACATTAATACTCTTACATCACAAGATAGTACTTTGGGTTGAGGGAGCTAGATCCCAGGTGTATATGAGAAGCTCATACAAATACTCATACATCTCCAAAGAGCTGCTTTTGTAACTACCTCCCAATTTACAAAGTTTCAATATTGGTGTCTCAAATGTGAACTGTAGGCAACAGTATCCTAAGAACTCTCCATAGTGAAAGGAATCTTGGCGACCTGTATTAGTCAACGGTTCTTATAGTGACTTTTGAACGACTTCACATAAACTTCTATGTAATAATCTTAAGATACTCAGAGGACTTTGTTACAAAATATTACTACGCCTGTTATGTTATGCTGTGAACTTGGCCTTGTCACAATTAGAACTAAAACTTTTGTAATTGTCATTCCTTCCTCAATCAATTCATTATCAGCCCAAAAAAAGGGGACCCCTGACACCACTGAGCTTAGCCCAACATGAAAAGTCTAACGTTATGCCTATGATAGCCTTCGCCCACACTCCAGGCGAACAATTATAAGTCCAAATGCAAGGGGCGCCATCTTGTTCTGCGATAGGGCCGAATCGGGCCGGCCCGCAAGCCAGGCTCCGCTTGATTTAAAAAAATCAAAGTCATGCTATTTTCTCCAACGTATTATTATAAATACCAAGTTTCTCGTATTTTAGCGCCTGCACCTGTATGTCCTGATAATGACCATCCATGTTCATGCAATCGGGTATATTTTCCCAAGAAATAACAGTGAGCTTACGCCATTGGTTTTTAGAAATGAGATTGGCATAGGCGCATGAGCTAGCAGAGTACGAGAAACATCGGGTCTCGTCCAGGTCTTTGGAGGTCGAGCAGCGCCCTAGCGGATAATCCTATAAATAATATAAAAGCCACTTTAAAAATCAATATTTCAAGCAGTAGGAATCAACATTCGATAGGGGGATGATCATACCCGTGATAAGCCAGAATTTTTAAGAAAAAAAAAAAAGTTGGCGTATCACGGGCATGGAAAAAAAAATTGTTTCCGCTAAATTTATCTGAAGTATAGCGAAATGGAACAGAAACTAGATCGCAAGGAGATGAGGTGGAACGGAACGAAAGGCGAAACGAAATGCCACACGGGCTGTACCAATCAGAATACTAGCTAGTAAAACATAGAGTTTCTGGTAAGGAATTCGCTCATACACGCCTAGCGGAGCTTATGAGCTTTCATTGGGCCAACGTTCTTCCTTTCTAATATTACGTTCGGGAAACGAATACGATGAAAAAAGGGAACCCTGTCGACACCAACGTGGATTTTGCCAAAGCTTTCGTTACCGTTTCGCGCAAGAGATTACTGTCTAAATTAGGGGTGCAACAGGCCGAAGAGAGCGTGAGTAACTGGATCAGTAGCCGGTTGTTAGGAAAAGCAGTGAGTAATAGAAAATTGGGGAGGGTGTTCGGAAGTCGGGGCTACGAGTGGAGTCCCCCTAGGGCAGTGGTGCACAACCTTTTCCCCGTAGAGGGCCAAAATTTAGATTTCGGCTCATGTTTGAGGGGGATGGAGGGCCGCAGACCCTCCAACATGAGCATAAATAGGCCGCATATAAATAAGGATCTTTAGAGACCGGAGGCATCCAAGGGGCCGCAAAAAAGGTCTCTGCGGGCCGCGGGTTGTGCATCGCTGCCCTAGGGCAAGGTCAAAACGGCCACTCATCTTTCTCCTTTACATTATCTAATAGACACGATGATTGCATCGGTGAATCGCTCAACGACATGAAAATAGTTTTCTCCATCTTAGGGAAGGAGAACGGGGAGAGAGCCGAGAGGTACTTACCGATTTTGGACGAGTTCGTCAAAAACTACTCACGAAATGCAACTAGAGTGAAGTTCCGCACGTTGGCCGCAACGATGATGGGTCGCTCGATACTTTTTACGAGGTTGAACTCCACAAGACAAATGGGGAGAGGGATATAGGAGTTATCATCGACAAGGGACTGAATTGGAGTAGGCGCAGTCCACGGCAGTTATCATGTAACGGGAACGATGGCTTCATCCGACGTTCGATGCCCAATAAGAGCTCGCGCTTTATTCTGTCCTTATAGACGGCATTGATAAATAGTAGACAGACATTCCAAGGAAAGTCGATGGGCGAGAGGAGACGAGGGTGTGGGCAGAGGGAGGTGAAGGCAAGGAAGCCGATCCCATTACCATTTATGGACGATACGTTTCCCACACGTCCCAGGCAGCCGTTATCATCGGTCCAACGATGGGATTTGGCAAAGTGGGCCGTCCTTGGCAGCTGACATCGACGAACAAAAAAAACGAAAACGTGACATCGGCCAGACGATGGCCAACCTTTGAAGCTACTCGAATGATTAGCGCGAGCTGATGTCCTCCCATCGACTAGAAGAGGTGGGATCGTCCCGCATTTCACAGGGGTCCATAAGGTGACTCTATGGACAAATTATTTATTAGAATAAAATAATTTACTATGGATGTGTATAATATCTTCAGATCTCCGAACGATGTAACATCTTCCCTCCTTCGCCACTTGTGAGGACTTCGTGTGACAGGGTGACATGTACCTGATCAGTTTAACTTAAACTAATCTGATCTCACAATGGTCCTCTATGGGAATCCGTTTGACGGAGATAATCTTATTCCCATAGACGCTCATTATGAAACCAGATCAGTTTAAAGTTAAACGGATCTGGTGCATGTCACCCTGAGAATTGATTTTTCTGACCCGCGTTTGGGCCTGAGCATGTGAACAACGTACTTCAATATGCTCATTCCGACCAAAATAATCCAGAAAAGAAATTATTATCACAGATGGCTTTCGTAACAAGTTGGTGAGGATGGTGATTTCCTTGAAAAACTTAATATTTATTACGAAACTCATTTCCATATGTACGGACAATTAAACCGTGAAAACGTGCGATCCTGGAGATGAGAAAATCCGGAGTACCGTGAAGCCCTGGCACTTCTCAAGAGGGTAGAGAAAAATGCTCGCTACGTGGGGTGATCAGATCCGAGGTGATCGGTTATAACTGACAGTAAACAGAGAGGTTGCGTGTTCGTTCTGGATGAAATATGAGGGGTCGTAGAAGAACCCTCTGAACACGGCAGAAGCGAGTTAGTCTCTCTTTCGAACTGTTGACTCATTGAGAATTAACTCCCTAGATCCGATTCGGACTTCAAACTGAGATCGAAGGTGCGTTCTTAAGGCAACGTTAAGAAATGCGCGTGATTTATCGTAGAACCGATGGGGGAAGTAATAAGGGTCTCACGTTGGCAGAGTTCTCAAAAGCGGTGCATCACCCTTCACTCAGAGAAATCGGTGAATCGAGACGATATACTTCTCTCAATTTTCGCATTTCGATTTCTTTTTCTCAAGAGAAAAATACATCAGCTGGATTTTCGATTTATATCTCTCGCTTCCCGACCGTGCCGGGTCGCCTGAAAGGCGTTTGCAAAACCAAAATGCGTCTATAGCAGAGTCGAGAGGGTGGTTTGAGTTGCCTTGCATCGTCTAGACGCATGTTAACCTCCGTATTCCACTTCGTGCCGAGGAAGCCTTCCCCCTCTCCCTCCCCCCCTGAACCCTCGGGGCTATGCATTGACAAGGGATTCACAGGCAACCACCTGAGTGCATGGCCTGTTCGCCACTTCACCTTCCCTCCGACCCGCGCGAGTAGCACGTGCGTCTCGAAGGGATTCCCATGTAACCGCTTACTTCATTCTTCGAGTCCAGTTTCATACGTTGTTTGTATTCCGTTTGGTGCGTTGGTGGTGCAACACATATCGCATTCGGGCTCTAAGTTCAAAAGCCACTATATTCCCACAATAGGTTTGTCTAACGTTAAAGAATACCAGTATTTGTAGCCTATCATCTTAAATCAATTAGTGCACCCGCAAATTATTTTCGGATTGAATTCATAGTACCACCCCCCCCCCCCGGGTAGAAGGAAACAAAAAGAAAGCTCAGACTCCAGAGGACATCCTTCATCAGATGGTTTTAAATAACCGCGCTTATCGGTGTCGCTATCTGCAATCGATGGAAGTGCCCTATTTCGTGTGTATTGGGGATGAATGGGGTACGAACAGTGGCGTATTTTACGGGGGGGGCGGGGGCGGGGCACCCATGAGACAGAGCTTGGCGCCTCCTTGGCGATAATGTTTTCACTTGAGTTAGACAACTTTTCCCTTGATTCGGACACACGTGCATGGGACGTTCCTCATGCATGAGTGCCGAAGTCAATTGAAACAGTGTCTGACTCAAGTGAAAAACATTAATATGATATCGCTGATATCGCTCTGATGGGGTTGGGCACCCCCACTTTCCTGCCCTGGCCCCCTGACTCTTCAGCCAAAATACAGCCACTGGGTACGAATTCAATCTGAAAACGACGTATTTCCTGAACCCTTTGAAGGTCCGGCCTAGCACTTGATCGCCATGGATGCCCAATATTATATTTCAGTTTCATCGATGATTTTGATTTAAACTCTGTGCCCGACACCACCATTCGTATTGAGTGTTATGCATGTTTATATTTTATAGTTAAAATGATATGCGATTGAAGCAGTGACAGCTGCTTCGTTGAGGAAAATATAAGTGTCCCATAGGAGGTGGGCGATCGTCCTATACACGCAGAATCAAATTAATGCAATTTGGTAGAGAAAAAATTTGTCCTCCATGTGATGCGTTTTTACCGCATCCAAAATTTGTCCTCCATGTGATGCGTTTTTATCGCATCCAAAATTCGATGCGATAAAGACGCATCACATGGAGGACAGATTTTTTCGCGAGAAAAATGCATCGAACTGAGGCACTGAATTTTCTGTGTGTTCCAGTCTCT